CTGTGGTAGCTGCTTAAAGATTGGAATGGTTGATTAGACCAAAGTGACCAATGCATCTTTTTGTGGTTTGCGTTCTCGTATAGTGGTGTCTGATTTTGAAGGGATGTTTGCCATATTCAAAATCAGCTTTCTAACGAATCTGTAACAACAAAAATCTTGAAGCAGACACATAGCTGGGGCCATACTTAGAAAATAACAGCTAAAGGAAACCACAGAGTATGAAAAATACAGCATGATGGTCTTCCACAGAAATGTTCTGTTTGCCAGTTTAAGAATGTGTAAATGCAGAAATGTTATTTTGCTAAATTTAATTTTGCTCTGGCCTCTTTAGGAGATGAAGATGGTGATAAATTCTTTTCAGACGCATAACAGACCTCAGTATCCAAACCAAGACCGCAACGGTTCTTCTGTTAGATGTGACAGAAAACATGAGAGGAAAACTAGAAAGAGTCGGATTTTCATGCTTTACACGTACACTACTCACTAATCATGGCTATATACTTTTTTTTATTCAGAATTGCATTTTTGAAGTGACCTCCCCCGACCTCAATCGAGCTCCAATCCAATCAAATAGCACCATAAATGGGAGTGTATAGATGACTTCAGTGAATCCTATTAGAGCAAGCTAACAGGATTACAGGGTTTTAGTGTGTGGATTCCACCCAAGAGCTTTCACATTTGCTACTTACACACATAGCATCGTATTCATATGATCACAACCTTCCTGGCATCACAAAGTCTCATTAACGTCTCCTCTTCTTTCTTAGTTTTTTTTTTTTTTTTTGCATGTACCTACCACATCCTCTTGCATCCAAAAAGTGCTATCCTAGTGTAAACTTTTTAGAAAATATAGAATTTGACATTTCGAATTAACAGACATGTTCATGCAGACAGAAAAAGGGGAGAGGAAGATACTGATCTCTATATTAATGTCACTGAATTAAAATATGAGTATCTTAAAGCTACAGTGTGTAATAATTACAGGCATATAAAGTCAGAAATTTAATATATTATACATAACTATGTTATTTATCATCACCTATGAGCTCAGCCTTTTAACCATAATATTTGCGCTGCCTTAGAATTCGTTATTTATAATTACATAGGAGCGGGTCTCGCAGCCATGGAGGCTGACATCTTTGCGCTACGGCAAGCGCAGAGGCAACAAACTAGCGATTGCGAGATCTCCCATGACGCTCGAAAATAACTACGGCAAGTTGAGAGAGATGAACTGAGACGGTACTGAACAGTAGATGGCAGTATTATGCCTGAGAAGCGTTTAGTCTGCCTGAAACCAAAGAAGAAGAAGAAGCAGGTATACTGCGCATCAGTAACAAGAAAGGTGAACAAAGGCGGCAGGCGTGAGTGACTTTGCAAACTGTTTGGCACTGTGTGGCCAAACATCAGACGAATGGAGGACCATGCCTACTCTGTATCACAACGAAAAGCGGCGGACACCGAACCCCCGTCATCTAAGAAGCGGAAACACGACGAGAATAAACGCAAGCGTGACAACAAACGACAAAAAACACGGATCAACATTGGCACGGCATTTACACGATGGAAGTCACTGATGGAGGAAAAAGGTTTTCAAAGTGACGCTCAAGTTGCCAGTTTTCTCTTGGACAGGTAATTAATCCTACACACACAATTGTCTAATATCACTGCAGTTTTTGGAGTACAGGATGCTCAGACCTGTCTAAAACAATAACATGCTGCGGCGTGATGATGCTGTTCCTCTCCAGTATACTTATTCAGCAACGTCCCTGACGTTTCATAGGTAATGATTCAGTAATTTTCTGTAAAATAATTTTCTGGATATATACCTCGGTTACTTCTCTCCGGCTCCTTTGGAGATCTTCAAGCGTTTCCTCCTCTGCTCTCACCCCGCTGGCACCCCTCTCTCGCCTGGCCCTAGCTGCACGGCCTCCCTGCCTTCGCCCTCGTCCTCTCCCTCTTCCTCGCGTTGTAACCCCCGTGCCACCAAAATGACTTGGACTCTGTAAACGGGGAATATATATTCTTCCAGCGAACACAATCTCGCTGTTAAACTAATGACTACAATTAGTAGTCTGTTTATATCACCATGCAAAGCAGCTCACCAAAACGTCACAACGATGTAGAAAAAATAACGGGTATATTTATTATCTTAAGTCTACATGAAATCTATACCCTACTCAGACTAATGAAATACTATCTGTAAAATTATCTATGTAAACAAACCTCATCACTTGAGAGGGTAGGTGATGCGGACGTCGTGGAAGAAATTTTGTCCCGTAACGCTCGCCGTACTGTTGGGGGGGAGAAGCGGTGGGGGGGAGATGTTCATGTTGCTGCGGTCTGTAGTCTGACCGCTAGATGTCGCTGAAAATTACACACTGTAGCTTTAATATTAAGAGTTGTTTTTAAAACTGGAGAAGAAAGTGATCATACTAGCTTAAAGATAATTTGGAAGAAGGGAGACAGTAAGCTGTCCCACCACTTTGTTGTGCAGCATTAACAATTAAAACTATAGATAAAACCAGAATAATCAAACTTTTATCTGATCCAATGCTTGTAACTCAGGTAGCATGAACAGGTTCAGTATTTTGGTTTTTGACCAACCAGAGGATTGTGGACTGCTAGAAAAAAAGATTTTACAAATAATAGACATGATGATTTGAATTTTGCAGGAAATATCTGAATTTAGATTTTTGCTGTACAAAAGTAGTGAAGGAACACTGTTTATGAAAATAACATTTCTAAATCTCCTACTGTGAGAAATGATTATTAACATTAGAGTCACTCCTATTTTAAATTCAGAAGATGAAGTCACACAAACGTGTCAGAGGGCAGTCGCTGTGAAACTGACTTCTAATAATCTGAGAAATAAAGACAAAAGTATTACAGAGTTCATATTTTCAATCCTGTTGCATATGTGCTCTTACTACAGCTGGTATTAATAAAACAGCATTTTTAGTGTACTTTGCCTAGAAGTTTTTCCTAAACTCTGTCCAGTTCAATATGTTTCATAACAAACAGAGGTTTGCAGCTTAAAAGCTTTTTTTTACTCTGTTCAGTCATTAAGTTGCTTGCAAAAAAGACTTCCTCTCACTGAATAAACAGCAGACATGTAGGAAATTTTAGAAAATCTAGTTTCTCACATCTCTGTGCTTCCTCTACTCTAAGTTTTACACGCTTTTCAATAAAAATGTATAATTTAGACTTTGCTTCATTCCCTTTTACATCAAAGTGCATCCACAGTGCTTAGACACGGTTTGGTCACTAATTTGATTTGCTGCATTTCCAACTGGCCAGTCACTAATTAGGGACCAATGAAGTCATATGATGCAATTCCATAGCGGAGAGCTCAAAACATGTAAGTCATCATTTTAAGTAATCAGCCTTCTATAAGGCAGATTGATAGAGAAGAAAAACAATAACGTCTTTATAATGGATAGAGATTGAATAATCATGTAGACTAGTAAACTGTTTGCACAGCCAAATTTAGCTGTTCTATATTCAACATTTTGGTCAGTTATATGTGCAACTTAACACAAAAATACAATATTATGATATTTGAATTTTTTTATGTTGTTTCCTTTTTTGTTGTTGAGAAGCTAAATAGTTTTGCCTATTTTGTATACACAACAATTACGATTAACTGAAGCTCCCAGCTTAAATTCTATATTTTGCCTCATAAAATCAAAGATATTCCTATTTTTAATGTGTATTTAATTGTGATTTTTGGATTTTTTTTTAAACATGTGCAGTACTAAACATTTTCCTAATGATAGAATGCCTGACTCACAGACAGCAGGGGCAGAGTATTGTTATGTTATAATTTTCCATCCTGTGGCACTCATAAACATTTAATTAGTATAAATTATTAAAGTTATTTTGATGATGGTGGTTTGCCATGGTTACATAGATTCTGGGACTGTGCTTTAGTTTCTAACCAGAGAGGCTGCTTTAGATCTGTAGGGGAACCTTATTCAGGACAGGGCCCTCTCTGGCTGCACTGCACTTTATGTGAGACAACTTAATGTTCCTTAAATATGTACTGGCTTGGGTTTCCATCTTCCTTTCACTTTCCTTTTGTTTGCTTTCTGTCTAAAAGTACTCCTAATTATTTCCAAATTATGAATTTGCTGACCTTAAACAGATGGAAAAACACAACTGAACTTGAAGACATTGTGGTTCAGTGTCCTAAAGAGTCCTCCACAGACCCCCCCTCCACAGACCACTGCTCTCTTGTCTCTGTTTAGTCTGTGATCAGGCAGAAATCAAGCCTCAAGGTACAGCCAGGTCAAACAGATCATAGCATGTAGGAACATTAAATAATAATACCACCATTTAATAACCTTTTCCAAAATGGACAATGCTTTGCAAGCAGATACTGCACTTCTTCGTTATAGTCTCCGTGGGGTGGAAAATCTTCCACATAACTTTTAGTATGGTGTTCTGTCAGTTACCGTAAGCATACCTGATCAGACCAGTATACCTATACCCATTTATCCCTTTAGTTAATACATTTAGTTTATCTCTAGTTTTGTACGAAAAAAAAAAAATCTTTAAGCTACCTCAACTGGTATGTATCCCTTTAGTCATGTACAAAAAAACAATTTAATTACTTACTTTTTGGTGTTTTTTGAAGCATATGGCGATCTGACCTTAAATTTATTTGTTTTGTTCTTGACTAAAGGGATACACGCCCGTTGAGGTAGTTAAAAGTCTATTTTTCGTACAAAACTAATGGGATAAACGCAAATGTGACGTCTTGCGCATGCATATTGAATATGGGTATGCTGATCTGACAGAACAACAGCACTGATGAGTAACTTAAAAGAAGGAAGGATCCTAAGTGTAGTTTCTTCAAGTGTCTGCTTAAAAACTCCAACAGGGAAATATTTACATAACAAGTTGTAAAAACATTAAAATCTCATCCAGTAAGACCACAGGAACCACATGAAACACACCTATAATTTAGGGCTATAATATACCTGCTTTCTTCTTCACAGCGATCTGAGTGAGAACTTCATCCAATCCATTCCGAGAAAAGCGTTCAGAGGAGCAACGGACATCAAAAACCTGTGAGTATTGACCTCTTTTGCATAGAGATATTTAGTACCAATCATTGCAATAGATTCAGTCATTTTGAATACAAAAAAGCACATTTCTGGTAGTTTTAAAAGTTAAATTGAGCTTTTTCTAATGTGTTTTATGCAACAACATACAAAGCAGATCTGCATATAAAGGCACAGTAATTATCTGCCACATTTCTGACATCCATTCAGGTATTAACAGTTGCTTTTTTAGTCGGTTTTACCAAAAATAATTTCTGGTTGCTCAAATTCATTAGAATGATGTATATGTGCCGGACAGAAAAATTTCCCTCTTTTAGAGATTGTTCGCAAAATAGATCAATCAATCAATCAATCAATCAATCAATCAATCAATCAATCAATCAATCAATCAATCAATCAATCAATTAATGTGTATATATCTAGTACAAAGGATGCTTTCCTAAAATGAATGTCTTTAATCTGATTGTATTGGAAAACTAATCTGAGTTTTCATGGCCTCTTTTCACTAAGCTCATATTAGTGCAAGACCTGCTTTGTTTGTAAGGAATGACAGTCCATTATCAGTATCAGCCAGTTATTTTATAACTTTTTATGTTCCTATTGTTCTGGGTTTAAATCAGTTTTTCTCTTTGGGAGGTCCACATTTCTCCCCCTTATATTTTGTCTTTCTTTAGACTCGTCCCAATTTATCTTAGAAAGAATTTTTAATGTTTGTCTTGAAATATATGCTTAATTATTCCTCTGACTTATTAGAAACTTACAAAGCTATGCCATCAAAAATGAACTTTCTCAGTTTGTTTACTGGTATGGTGATTCTAGCGTATGTAAAACTCTGACTTTTAGCACACTAATAAAAACATTGTCATTATTGCAGTATTTAGATAATAGAAATAGTTTTCATAATTCTAGCTGACATAAATCAGGTTACCGGTATATGACTTTCTATACAGTGTAAATGAATATCTGGTTTGAACTCTATCCGATCAATTATCTTAAAGGTCCTAGATCACGCATTTCAAGCCTTCCAAAGTCAACTAGATCCATATAAATGATAAAATCCTGCCTTTAACACTACAAATTATTGATCTTGATCTTTTTTTAAATGTGGTTTTTACTTTGGAACAAATTTCTCTCCACATAAAATAATAACAGTAAAAAGTAAGTAGAACCATATCTCAGTTCGGTTGAAGGCCAGTGAGTAAAATAAATGTTAAGAGAGGTTTAAAAAAAATTGACAATGAAGGCACCTATGGAATGTATGAAGGTAATAGATTCTATCTTCTGCTTTGAGCTGGGAACAACCAGGAGTAACAGGTCAGCAGACCTGAAAGATAAATTTTGGGTTTAATGTCAGAGAAGTCGAGTCGGCCCAGATTTTTTTAAGACAAAGGTATTTTAAAATAAAATCTAAAATATGCTGGGACCCAATGAAGAGAAGCCAAATCTGGAGTGTAATGCTCCCTTTTAAGTGTCCCTGATTGTAACCAGCACACGTTGCAGACGAGCGAGTGAGAACTGGCTGATTCCGAAATAAAGGAATTATGGTATTCCAATCACTATGGAATAAAAGAATGGATTACTGTTTCCAATCATAGACTTGACAAGATAGCTTTTGCCATTTTCTTAAATGATAACAACTGGAAATCAATGTGACTCTAGCTGAACTGTCAAGTTTAAGATCCTTGTTGAACTAGGGTTAGAATAAAAATAGGCCCTCAAAGATTAAATATCCTAAAGACACAACAAAAAAGGTTTAATGGACCATGCATTGCATCGCCTTAAAGGCACATAGTTTAGCAATCATTAGCATAGCATTGAAAGATGCCATGTTTTTTGAAAATAGACCCTAGAGCAGGGGTGTCAAACTCAATTTCTAAAGTACCCTGCTATTTTTTTTAGATACATTCCTGATTCTATACACCTGAATAAAATGGCCTAATTACCTTCTCAGCATACTATTGGGTTCTGCAGAAATTCTTCTGATAATCTACATATTCAATTAAGGTGTGATGAAGCAGAGAAAGGTTCTGTAAAGGTTGCAGGGTATCAGGCCACTTTTGGCAACTGGGCTCTTCTGTAGAAAGTCAAACAAATATTCAAGCTCTCTCAGTCAAAAAAAAAAAAAAAAAATCTCCCAATTTGGACACTGGTTTAAAAAAACAGTCGCTATCAGTTTATATAGATAAGGTGCACTATCTCAAGTTCAAGGAAAAAAGTTTGCACTCTCCCTGACATCATTGCTTGCTGATTGAAAAAAGTTGGTGTGTTATCCACTCTGCATGAATAGCTTGATCCAGGTGGGTGCTTCCTTGAGAGGGCAGGTGATCACTCCCACTCTAAAATAGGGATGGACATTAGTTTTTCCTGGACAGCAAGGTGCTGCTGTTTTTGAGAGCAGAAATTTACTAAGTATCACATAAGCAAAATAACATGTTGGCCATGATTTTGATTAAAGAAAATAATTTTAACATAGTTAAAAGCTCAAATAGCCCTGCATTACCCTGCATGAACTAGATATTTGGAGTTCCTAACATGAGAGATGTAATTACTGAAATATGTGCTCTCCATATTCAATCGAAGCATGTTAAAATTGTCTCTGGTCAGCCTAATTGCCTTTCATGAAAGTAAAAGACTGGTTACTTGTGTGTGCATCCATATTCAATGGACCACTCACTACCTTCCCAAAGACGGCTTGTATAGAACCTGATTTACATCTTCAAAAGGCTTAATGCACAATCACACTCGCACACGGGGAGTAATGACTTCCATTGATGTGAACATTCACTCAGTAACGTCCACATTTGTTTCTCCAGGGAACCACATGAGCTGAGATGACTAAACCTGTATCGATTAACCATAGTGTATTAGAGCACTACTTACTGTATCAGTGATTACAACTACTCTTCAGGGAGACAGAAAGATTGTTTGACTCTGCTGTGTGTCTCCGCCACAGGCAACTGGATAAAAACCACATCAGCTGCATTGAGGATGGAGCCTTCAGAGCTCTCAGGGGTCTGGAAGTACTGTAAGTACCTGATCTGATGTTATTTGCCCAGCTTTAAACTGCCTCATCCCATTGAAGCACTTAGTTGAATGAAGACATCTTTGTGTCCTGCTAATTACTTTGACTAATACATATGGCACAGACCTTGAATAATATTTCAAAATACCCCCTGCGGGTTTTATAAAGGGGGTTTGCTGCATTTAGCTCCATTAAGTCACAGCTGACAGCAGGGTTCCTCTCCATCACATTAACACCCAGTAACCCACCCACTACCCCACCTCCAGCTACAGACCATCAAGCCCTGAGCATGCCATCTGACAAGGGGGCTCTTCCTATCAGACGGCATGCTCAGGGCTTGATGGTCTGTCTCTTTCCACTCTCTAGTTATCCACCTTCCTTTACACAAAATATAATTACAAGCCTCTGTTGGAGATCTTTTAAAACAATGTGGATGAACGGCTTATGGAGTGGGACAAAGGCGCTTTGACAGCTTTGTTATTCTGACGTTGAGAGGCTGCCATGTAGGATTAAGGCAGAAGTAGAAGAAAAGAATAAATATAACAAGCTGCATGAATGGATAATTTGCAGCAATGATAGCACTTCGATGGTGTAAAGGGTCAAAGAGGGTTGTTTAGATAGATTTGTGTTGTGGCGAGGAGAACAACGGATGTTGACAGGGAGAACGGGTTGAAAAATGGTGAAGAGTTTTTAGGCAGATCGAAATGATCTGATTCTCTCTCTGCAGCTGATCCCCCAGGTCTCATGGAAATGTGTGTGCATGTTACCTTTATAATGATAGCGATCAGGCTTGTAAAGAGTGTGCAAATTTGCATGCATGGCTGCATAGGCGTGTGGGAGGTGCAAGGGCTTTCCCATCTGTGTGAAATGAGGTGGTATACTCCCAAGGGGCCACAGAGAGACAAAAAGGGAGAAGAAATAGATCTAATGAGATGTAAAAGAGAAAGGTGGTCTTAACGCAAATGAAGATTGAACCGTTTTGCTCCTCTCTTTTCACAGGACACTGAACAACAACAACATTAGCAGCATCCCCGTCTCCAGCTTCAACCACATGCCCAAACTGCGAACTTTGTAAGTCACAAACCTCCCACTTGAGTGAGCATCTTTTTCAGGAAATATTCAAACTATAATTACAATCTACACGTATACATGCAGACAAAGAGGAGAAAATCAGAATGTAATCTCAGTGGGGGTTAACAGCTCTGTCATTCCAAGCAGTCCTCTCAGCCAAAACCACTGAACAGCACAGAATAATGAGTTTAGCAAAGCCAGCAGCTGGTATGTGATCCATGTCAAGACAAAAATGGCCTGTATGGACACAAATAGGTTATTGTGTGCTGCACTTACCAGATCTGAAATTATGCTCAAATTAAAACAATTATTCCTGCTGACACGCTGAACCGTGACTCTTCTGCCCTTGTGGTGACACTGCGGTCAACTTCACTCCCAGTGGGGTAACGTTTGAGTTTTTTTTGTTTCTGCGTGCACCATGTCTACGTGCACGTGGGTTCACAAGTTAGCCTACATACACCACCCCGCAGCAGCAATAGTTATTATGGAGAGGCACTGTTTTGCAAAAATGCAGTGTTTGGAGCTCTGGATTTAGAAATGTCCTTTTTTTTTTAGAATGGACTATTTATAATTGTCTTGTAGCATATCATTAAGTGTGTTTGTCGAACAGTGATCCGAGGTAATGTATTAAGGAATAGAAAAGACATTTTATCCTTTTTTCTCATCCACTGCCCTTAATATAAAATAACTGATCATAATCTTTGTTCTCTTGCTCTGTTCCAGCCGTCTTCACTCCAACAACCTAAACTGTGATTGTCATCTGGCCTGGCTGTCACAGTGGCTCAGACAGAGGCCTACGATCGGTCTTTTCACCCAGTGTGCTTCGCCTGCAGAGCTCAGAGGACTAAATGTGGCAGAGGTCCAGAAACATGAGTTCACCTGCTCAGGTAAGATGCATAAATTTGATATTCAAGCTATCATTCAACAGAAAAAATTGACATATTTTGTGATTAACCAACACAAAACATATATGATGGTAAAAAATAGAGAAAAATACAAAAAAATTAGCAATTTTGTCAGCATCCTTTAATACCCCTAAATAAAATCCAGCCTAACCAAATGCCTTTAGATTTTTAAGCAGAATCTATCTGTATATGATTTCAGCATATATACATATATAAGAAGCATCAGAAAGAACACGGAACAAACTTCAGAGGTCTGGGATAAAGTGAGGTATACAGCAGGGTCAGTTTATAAAACAATATTTAAAATTCTGATAATCTCACGGAGCACTGAACAGCTCTACATCCTCAACCGGGAAGCATCTGTGAACCAACTAGAGACCTACTAGAGTATATATCATGATATATTTCTTCATTTTAGTCAATACGATATTATTCCCATATCAATATAAGCAATTTAAAAGCCAAAGAAAGGTTGACAAGAAAGCTTACAACAGAATCCTAGACACACTTCTCATGTTATTTTTAAATTTATTTCAATATTTCCATTTTAACTACTCTTTTGGAGCTACACGCTTATGAGATCAAATTAACATTAAACCAGGTGATTATCTCTCCTTCCTCACTTTTCTTAGCTCATGGCTTCTTGCCTCTCTCTGTTTCTTTGTTATTGCCTCCTTTATTTATTCATGATTGACTGTAATAAGTTCAAGAAGACAAAACCTGAAAAACAATGTTCACAAATCAATATAAGTTAGCAAACAATTGAAAACTCATAACTAGATATGAAAATACAGACGAAAGGTCCCCAACTAATTCCCAGTCGAACTTTTGATCAACCATTCATTGACACTGTAAGCAGTGTTACAATGAAGCATCCAGTTAAACCCCCCCCCCCCCCCCCCCCCCCCCGCCACCCCCCCCCCCCCCCCACAACCCCAACCAACACACACACATGGATGGTTGGATGCCACCCCTTCCAGAAAATCTGGTAAAGGATGTAAAATATTTAAGGCTAAGATGGAGGCGCCCAATGACCCTAAACATTCAACCATAGCCACAATTATCTATTTAACTAGATCAAAGCATTTTTAGCTCAGTCAAATATGTAGATAATTGGATCCAATATCACATCTGTGGCAAGGCTTGGAAATTGCTGATCACAGATGTTGTCCAGTCTTACTTAATTTGGCCCTTTTTTAAGACACCATTTATAATTTTATTTCGTTTTCAATGCTTTTGATGATGTCGTCCCATTAAACTAAATATAAGTATGTGGCTGTGAAGTGACACAAAAGGTTTAAAGAGATATAAATACTTTGAGTTGATGTTGTTTTCTTTCTTAAATTGAAGGTAATGGAAGTTTCTTTACCTCTAATGCAACTCATGGGTTCTTCAGTTTTCATGACAAAACAGCATCTAAAAATAACATCTGTTCTCTATTTACTCCTCTATCATGTGTTTTTTATGTCAGTGTGTATTCACCTGGCAGCCACCTGACAACCGCTCAGCACCAGGACAGCCTCCCAGCCTTCTGCTAGCCAAGGCTTATGTATCCCACTGAGCTGGCAGCGGTGTTAGGAAAATGCCCACACAGCTGGAGCCCAGGCTGCCCACCCTCACAGCAGAGCTCCACTTACTGGTTCTCATTTTTTTTTCTGGCCTATCACAAATATTATTAAGATGATCCCTTTGTGATTTATGTGGCTCCGTAGTCTATTTTCTTTCATGCAAAGAGATCATGTGCAAGTAGAGACACTGTGATGTATCTGTTTTATCATATCTGGACAACAGAAAAACACCATGAGAGCCTCCACTCCCCTCAAGGCTTTCTCATTCGTAACACCAGCTGCAAGGGGTGTTTGTGTCTACGTGGGTGTGTGGTTGCGGGCCAGTGTACCTCTGAGTCTGTGTGTTCCTTTTCTCTCTGGATTGTGATTTTTACGCAGCCATACGGCGTGACAACACAGATCATTAACTATTCATCATCCAGGGAAAGAGACTCAAAGCGTGGGAGTGTAACCCCAGCACATAGAAAAGTTGAAGCATGGAAATTGGTTTATGTTGCGACACAGATAGAGAAACTGCTGTTTTTACATAATGGTCAGCTGCATTACACAAACGTGCAGGTGTTAGTTCACCTAAGATGATGACTTCTTCTACCTTTATCAGTCACATTTAGAAAAAGTATACAATTCTATACAATGTATATCTACATAGAAGTGCAACATTGTGCATATTTGAAATAAAATGCTCAGGCAAACACATTCTTTATTTTATTTTATTTTTTTTTTTTGTTGTTTTTTAATTGTGACCAGAAGTTGTTCTCCCATAAAAGGATTCATTAGAGACACTTTATATTTTTGCAACAGTATGTGCTTGTGCACTTATTTAGCCAAAGCTGTGACCAGTCAAGGCCACCTGCGTGGGATTTGGGGCAGGGTGGCGCCGTATAACAGGAAAAGAAGAAAATGAGGCAGAGGAGAGGCATGAGGTTGTGGAGTGGAAACGGGGGTTTACTGTTTTATTCAGTAATATGAAATAAATGATGAAATCCTCCCTAAGTCCAAGCAACATGCAAATTGCCTTGTCTTTGCTGGAGAGCAACTTTTAAATTCACACTGACAGTAAGGAGCCATGTCTCACTTAGGGAAAATCCTATAACTTGATCATTAAAGTCTGTATTCTTTAAAATACAGTTAAAATCTTTTGCACCAAAGCTTAAATCTTGTGTGGAGTGCATTAAACTGATTTTGGAAGATTCAGAAGAGGAAATTCACTTTTTTTGTTTGTATTCCAGCCATTCTTTCTTCCATAAAATTTTTCTATGAGCATATTTATATATCAGCACTTAAAACAGTTTATTGTAAACACTTCCTTTCACAGACGTTTGTACTACAGTGGGACACTGCATACATGGCGGTAAAAAATTGAGCTTTTTGCAGATGTGTCCAGCAAACGTCTGCTTTGTGTCTTCATCAAACCCAGCATGATAAATATCACCCGCCCATAACTATCACCACAGTCATTACTGTTGGAGGACACAAAGAGGTTTTGAGAATTTTTGAAACAATTTTGTATTATATTTCAAACTCGTAGTATGTTATTGTGAGTTTTCAATCTGTGTGCATCAGTCCCTGCTAGGTTTGGACATAATATTAGGTACAGCTTGGCGAAAGCATAAAACATGTTGTAAAACAGTGAGGTGGCAATAGCCCCCTCCCCCCTCAGTCTAGCATATGAACTTGCATACATCCAAAGTCAAATGAGGGAGAGCTTTTAACATAACATTCACATACTTACCTTGCTTCTTCAGATTCCTTTCTTTAATTAGAATGGGAGAAGACTAGCAGCAACACAGGGGCATCTCTGCCCCTGGGGGTCAGTTCTACTTTGCAACCTGCTAAGGTTGCTGGTGTACTGTTTAAATCTTCTTGCCACTTCAAAAATCTACGCACAGTTGGTCAGTGGTGGGTGCGTATTTTCATCCCCTGCAGATTTTAGCATTATTCTAAATCTCATAGTGGCTGTGGGAGCAGATTTTTCAAAGTACTAATTTAAACTAAGAATTTGCATTCCAGGAAATTTAAATGTTCTCTGCTGAATTAATCTATTTCAGCTATGCAGTCCACCAGAGAACAAATTCCCAGGTTAAGAAACCAGTTCAAGATAATCTGAGCTTTGTGATATGATAACTTATCATGCTGAAAGTAGCTATTAGAAGATGGATTCACTGAAGTCATAGACATATTCAGCAGCAACACTCAGGTACTGCGAACTGCAGAGAGGATCATCAAGCTCCTTTTCCCTCCATGAAAGAAATTTCCTCCCAGCGCTGCATGTCCCGAGCCCAAAACATCATCAACGACCCCTCACAGCCCCACCATGGACTGTTCTCCCTGCTGCCCTCTAGAAAGAGGCTTAGCAGCTTTTTCCCCACCGCCATCAGGCAGCAGAATGTTGAAAAAAAAACTGAAAAAGAAAAAAAAAGTGAAAAAAGCTGAATGTAAAAAAAGCCCCCAAAAACTCTAAATGATGTCACAGTCTCTGCAACAAACTGACCATATCATTTCTCCCAATGTTTACGTTTATCACTCCTGCACAAAAATAGAAAAGTCATGAGAGCTGTACATAAGGAAATTAAATTTTTTATACACTCTATGTATAGAAAATGACAATAAAGTTTGTCTAAGTCTGATGTAGGCTGTGGTGTTTAAACAACATGCTCAGTTGGTACTAAAAGACCCGAAGTCTTATGAGAAAATGTTCCTCGCACCATTACGCCACATCTGCCCAAACTGTTGATGTAAGCCAGGATGGATCCATGCCCTCATGTTTTTTTTATCCCCATTTCTGATTAAATCTACATCTCCAGCTGAATAAAGACTTATTAGACCACCAGACAATAAGTTTTTTGTTTCTCATCCAATTTCTCTTAAATAGAGTAAAATGTAGCCTCAGTTTCCCGTTCTTGGATCAGTTCTTCATGGTTCCTCCTTGGCTGCTCCTGGTATGGTATTTTGCTACAGTCAAGCTTTAACGTCTGACATGTGCTTTATGACACGATCATTTGCGAACCTTTGGTTTAACCAAATAGTAATCTGAGCTGTTGTTGTCATTCTGATGTCCATTCCAATCTGACCTCTGACATCAGCAGGGTTTTTTCATCCTCAAACAGTGCTTCCTGGATATTTTCTCTTTTTTGAACTTAAAGGATGGTTGTGTTTGAAAAACCCAGCAGATCATCACTCTCTTTAAAACTCATACAAACCTCTGTGACTCTAAGTTTATGCTATGTTTAAAGTCTTTCATATCCCCTTTCTTCCTTATTTTGATGGTCCGATTAAGCTTTAGCAAGCTGTTTCCATTGTGTCAAGATCCCTGAAGGCTTTGATGCCACCATATGGTTTGTTAGTTTGTTGTTCTTTTTTAACGGGTTCATCTAGCAAACTGGCTACTAAAAGGTAATAACATTTGTGGGAGGTAATTACAGTAGAAAAATAATTTATTATTTCAAAACTAGGACTCTCTACAGAACCTTCAATATTCACCAGTAAAAAGTAACCAAAAAACAAGAAGTCCCTCATATTACCTTAAAGTTATATGACAGAAAATTTATTGCTGTTGCTCGAAGCGAATAATAGAAGAAATAAAAATATTACGTTTAAATTGGGCAGTTGATAATAAATCATATCAAGGCTCTTCTAAAGGAAATAAAGAAGAAATGACCCGTTAAAAAAGGTGCAATGAAACAGATGGCAGGTAGCAAGTGATGGTGTTGGGATATGATGAGCAAATGAGGCGGAGTGGGTTAAATATATAGACCTCTAGCAAATGGATGAAAGGTGAAAAGGTGCTCTAAGAGAGATATGGGAAATCAGGGTGTTAAACGGAGTGAGAAAGAAAATGATGAAAAGAAAACCCTGATGAAAAAATGACTGATTAATACTAAAGAAAATGGGTCATGAGGAGAGAGGAAAGAATGAAATAGAATTGTGAAAATAGAGGTGGAGTGAACATGAAACAGCCTCAGCTCGGTATACCTGTCAGTGAGCTGTCATTGTTAAGGCTGCTCCGGCTGTGCTCTGCACTCTCCCTGATCCCAGACCTGTCAGATATGCCATGTTAGATAAGAAATGAGTTTTTCTCTGCCCGACACCAGATCCTAGATCTGTCAAACCTTTGCCGTCGTAGATCAGGCACCCTTAGATCACATCTTCCTTTGTTGATTGGCACTCTAGATGCTGATTTCCACCTGATTCCTTTGCTCTGTTGTGGTAGGATTTACCTAAAAGATGATGTCTGATTGTCAACTTTGTTAACAATGTTGTCCAATAGCATGAGAAAGTACTTTCTAAGCAGCCTTTGATTGTTTCATAGATTCTGTTTGGAAAGTTTTGCAATAATTCATATTTCATCAGCTTTACACCTCTGAATCCAAACACCCTTATTCCTTTTGTCCTCATCAACATTTTATTAGCTTAAGATCAGAAATAGATAGAAGCTGATCAAACATTTATGGTCTGAAAGTTATGATGTGGTGTAAATGAGGCCATTTAAAAGTCTGTTTTACTTATTATATGGGGTTAGAATATTATAGTCATATTCAGTACACTAACAAGAGAAAATGCTGCACCATAAGTGGAGTCGGTGGTTTCTTCACCTCACCGCTGACATTCCTGCAGCTTTTTGAACAGGTAGCTGGAGACAGTATGATAAGCTGTGTGCTCTGTATGCAAATGAAAAAGTTGAAGTGTTTTTGAACAAATGGGAGTAAGGTGATGGGGGTTGTGAAAAAAGCTGAATGTGCAGAATGGCACCAGTTCCTTTAGGAACAGACAGACTCTACAAAAAGATTTTTAAAAGAGATCAATGGATATTATTGGGAAGCCTTAGCTTGTCACTCCAACTTCACCCTCCTTTGATATTCAACCTAGTTTCTTTCCCATTGGTTTTGTGCGAAATCAGCACTTTTACAGTAAAGAATATTTCTTTTACTTCTGTCAATGTGAGATAGTAGTTTAAATTTACATTTGCATATTTGCAGTTCAGCTGAAAAGAGAGAAAAATGTTTTGGACAAGAAGATGTGAAGCTTGAAAAGAAAACAGTTTCTGTTACTATAACAATTAATCTTGTTCTGTTGGTCTAACTATTATTGTTCTAGTATTAACTTAACTGACTGCTATGAAGGTGATGGGAGGACTGAAAAGCTCTCCCTTCAGTCCATCTATGAGCAGTCTTCACTCAGGCAGGCATAGAGAGTACTGCTGGACCCGTCCTACGTCATTTATAAGGAATATGAGGTCTTGCCTTAACCCTAACCCTGGCCCAATTCCAATGTTTTTCACCTCCAAAAATAAACTTAAATTGTACCACTTCTATATGTGCTTCTAAATTGGATGCATATCCATCAGTTTAATTTTTTTTTTTGTCCCACAATAGGGAAATTCTAGTGTTTACAGCAGCAAAAAGATGATAGAAAAAATTGTCACACAAATGTGGACCTTAGTAAAATATATAAGACTAACATACTAGTGAAGAGTTAAAAGATGAACAATAAAATACTGTACTGTAAAGTGTTTTAACAATATAAAACTGTGTACCTGGTGAAAAAATTAACTAATATTCAGCTATGGACATTTTTACAGTAATGGATATTTGAAAAATAGCAAAAATGCAAAATGACAGTAGAATGTTATTTAACTGACTAAGATAGAAACTCTACAAAATCAGCATGAAAGTAACAACTTATTGAGGTTGTTGGGAACAGTGGTGGTTCTAAAGTCCAGCAGCTGCTGGGAGGAAGGATCTGTGATAACGCTCCCTGGTGCATTTAGGGTGCAGCAGTCTGTCACTGAAGAAGCTCTCCAGTTCTGCAACAGCTTCATCTTCCAGGATTCAACAACTCTTTCATTCAAACTCCTCTCCAGCAGTCACTACTCCACAAAAAAACACATTTTTAATAGCTCTGCTCTCTTTTTCTTACAGTGGGGCAGAGGTTTTTTAGTCAGCAACTTATTATGCAAGTTTATGTCTGTAATTTTCATCATAGGTACACTTCAACTATGACTGACAAAATTAGAAAAAAAAAACGGCTTGGTGTGAAGAAATCAACCATGCAGGAATGGTAAGAAAATGGAAGACATACAAGACCATTGATAATTTCCCTTGATCATGGGCTCCATGCAAGATCTCATCCCAAAGGGGTCAAATGCTCATCAGAACAGTGGGCAAAAATCCCATAACTACACAAAGGGACCTGATCAATGACCTGCAGAGAGCTGTAACCAAAGTAAAAAAGGCTGCCATTAGTGACACTATGCTGAGAGGGACCCTGCAGTGGGATCCTGCAGTCAGCCTGTCCTTCTGCTTCAGCCAGTACAGTCAAGGTTTGTCTGAAGTTTGCCAGACAGTGTATGGATGACAGTAAAGTATGGGCATGGAAACATCATGGTTTAGTGTTGTTTTCCTGACTGCTCTGTGTTAAAGGAAGATTAACACCAAACCTCCTTCCATCAGTGAAAACAGTGAAGATATAATGAGGCTGAGTCTTCATGAAACTGTCAACTGTCTCAAACACATTGCTCAGACAATAAAGAAATGGTTCCATAAAAGGCATTTCCAGGTTCTGGAATGGCTTAGCCAGAATACAGACCTCAACCCCATAGAAAACGTTTAGAGGGAGTTGAAAGTCCATGTTGACCAGTGACAGCACCAAAACATCACTGCTCTAGAGGAGATCTGCATGGAGGAATTGGTCAAAATATCAGCTACAGTGTGAAAAGACCTGGTGAAGTTTCATCTCTTCATTGCCGACTAAGGTTGTACTACAGGGTATTGAGTTGTACTTTTGTTATTGACTAAATACTTTTCTTTCTACATAAATAACAAATAAACAAATAAATCTTTTTTTTCTTTTGTCTCCCATAATTAAAGAGTACCTATGATGGAAATTACAGACCTGTCTCATCTTTCTAAATGGGATAACTTGCACAATCAGTGACTGACTTAATACTGTGTTGCCAAAAATGTCTTTCTTTGTCTTGTAATGATGTGATCTTAATCTTGTCAGCTACTGTTGTTCAACAACTTATGATACACAAAGATGCCAACATCTGTTATTACTTCCACAAACTATGTCTACACTCTCCTGCTGCAAATACAAGTTGTGTTGGGGAGGTGAATCGTTCAGACAGGACTCTGATTGTGGCTGCGTTTAAGTAGTGGTCTGAACAATCATGCAAAGAAAACCATGTTTAAGCTTAACAAAATCAGAACTAAACATCCAGATCCTGAGTGTGAAAAAAATGCACATGCACAGCCCTGTACCAGCTCCAGAGAGGGAATGCCCATTAAACAATTGTGAGAGCATGCAAGAGTCCATTTCTTCTTGTTCACGCTCTATTTAAAAGTTGCTGTTTGCAACGCTCATACAAGCTTACTTTCCAAAAGAAGATTCCACTTTGTCCGACTCACCACTGGTAAGTGGAAATGGTGATGAGCAAATTGGACGGCCGTACATAAACATATCACCAGAATGTCACCCTACATAATTGTTTTTTTTTCCTGCCACTCCTCAATAAAAAGCCCAAATCTTTGAGTGCTTGACTACTGGTGTTCATGTAAAGAGACTCTCTTGTCTAACCTTGGAATTGTTTAGACTGCAGTTATTAGGTGTATCTTACGGGGGCTGTACACAAAGACATCCCACATTTTTAGGAATTCTTTTCTGTAAGCCATGTATATCTTTGCTGTCATGTGATATATGACAGCAAAGCCTGCACTATCTCCAACCTGAACATAAAATGGAACCATTTTTCCTTTGTACTTCTATGACAATGTAAAACAATGAACTTCTGTAAGAATGTTTTAGTACTGTTTGACCTCACTTCTTTTAAACCTAATTTTCCCTACGTTTTTATCTCTGCAGGGCATCAGGAGTCTTCCAGCCCGCAGCCATGCAGTTCTGGTGGAGGATCCTGCCCTGCCATGTGCACCTGCAGTAACAACATAGTGGACTGCAGGGGGAAAGGTCTAACTGCTATTCCAGCCAATCTGCCAGACAGCATGTCAGAAATGTAAGTGAAGTGTACACATGCACGGGATATGTTTGAGCTCACTGGAATTAATTAGTTCCATTTTTCAGACTTTGTGTACTTGACAACTTGTCTTTTTTGAGGAAAGAAAAGTTTGTAATCATGATAATCTGAACTGATTTTTTTTATTCTAAGCATGTTTCCCAGGACATCAGTTTCATGTTTGGAGAAAGATATTCACTTAGAAACCTTAGACTGAAATCAAATCTTCTTATCAGCGTGGGATGCTGTAAACTTCACAAAACCCCCCTCGCTAACATCGCGCCTTCAGTTTATCAGTCCACCAACATCTGCCTTAGCATTAACTGTTCACGGCCCACATGCTGTAGAGTAATTCCCAGGAATGCATGGCTAAACTTTTCAAATAAGTCATTTTACTCCCTCTATCAGAGATTTCATGCCAGTGGCTATCTGGAAGTCTTCCACAACACTGTGATTTATGTCCAAAGTGAAAAATCTGAGGTATTCGAAAAAATCTAGCCAGCATGTTGCATGTTCTTCTGAGGGGCAGTTTCTAGGTCTCTTCATCCCCATGAGGGTGTGTTTATAAATACTCAGCTTGTGTGAAAGTCACAGATCCCATGTTCCCCAATAACCCTGACCCATTTCTACTGCACTGGTGCACTAAATATGATCATTTAGAGCAAATATTCACAGCTCTGTTTGTGCCCATCATATAGACTAACGACCTATGCCATGCCACTATATAGAAAGTTAGGTTATATAAAGGTATTCAAAGCGCCTGCCTTTTGACTCACTGCAATTAAACAAGACTGATATCTGCCCTTATATGTTCACAAGCCACAAAAATACCAGAAATGCATTTTTTCCCATGTTTTTTTGGTCTCCGTAACAGAAATATAACTTAGTTATACATTTCAAGCACAAACTGTAATTGTTTTTTTTGGGTGCTTCTGAGTGACAGACCAAGGCGAACTGTAGCGGTGGAGCAGAAAAATAAAACTGCATCACCCTGAACACAAAGTGTTCCCAGTGAAACATTGTGGTGGATGCATTGCCCTGAGGGAATGTTTCCTTCAGCAGGGAAAGAGAGGCTGGTTAGAGTTGATGGGAAGCTACGCAAAGGACAATCCTGGATTGAATTTTTGTTTTAGAGGCTATAAGATACTTAAGAACGCTTAGACTTTTGATGCACAAAGCTGGTTGAGAAAAACCACAGATTTTTATTTGTAAAAAAAAAAAAGGAAAAGAAAATAAGTTTTTCTCCTTTACATTAATGCTTTTGCAAGACGCTGTATATCAGTGTTTTCTATGGGAATTGTGATCAGTGAGCATAACTAATGGATAAACAGGGAGACAGTTGAAAGATGAATATCCCATGCATGCATTTTATTGACAGTAGATCCTCTGCACAGCGGATGAGCACTGACATTTTTAAACTTTCCGTACCCTCCACATGTAATTGATGCTTAAATCTGCCCTGCTTATAAACCTTTCAGTGTCCTGATTTATCGTTTACAAGACAAGCACTCATATCATTTGCAGTCCTTCTACCCTGCCCGTCAGATCCTTTAGAGCCTCAAATCCCACGATACTTTTTACCTTACTCTTTTTCTTTTTCAAGATTTTTACCATCCCACCAAATCACTGTGGGCACATTTTATGGAGCTATATTAAGAGTGGAAATAAATTAAAATAGAAAGTGTTAGGTTGGGCAGGGGGGTCGGTTCAGTAAGCAGCAGGTTTGATCTGTGCTTGAAGTTCATTATAAAATCAGCTTCAGTAACAGGCTGGCAGGTTGCTGCATATCAACGCTGCCCCAATGCCTTGTTAATGAGCTACTCACAAAATCGCATACAAACAAAAGACGCATGCATGCTGCTCTCATTATGTATAAATCTGGGAATTCACAACCCCCCACCCCCTTTTCCTCCACCCTAATGAGTGCTGCGTTTATGGATGTGGGGTTTCGAGCTGTTCTTTGTATTCTTTTTCTCGTGAAATGAGATCTGGTTAGCCTAAACACCACCGCAGCGGATTATTATGCATCATAGTCTCTGTTTGCACTGACAAGCCCTGCCATAAAACTTTCCCCCCTGCCTTTTATCTGCACTGCTGTGGTCCTTCATTCATTTCTGACTCCTGCACACACCAGTTGAACACCCAGAGGCGTAATGGGTTTCCCTATAATGAAAACGCTGCTCAGATCCTGATGAAAAGGATGAAGAAAACTGATTGGATTGACACAAACACCAACTCACAAGCAGACACACATGTTCAGGCTGACGAATGGGATAGAAACCATTGATTTTTCTTTCTCCAGGAGAATTGTTTTTTTGTTTTTTGTTTTTTTTTACCTTTACTAAATGGAAAAGGTTACTTCTTTATGGATTGCAAAGATTAAGTTGCTTGCTTACATCGATCTGCAAAGAGCAACAATGGGAAAGCTGAATCATTGATTCAGGGTGTGAGACTTTAATGGTTTCACCGTTTTCTTAGTGAACACACCCAGAATACCGTGGCACATCGGGACATAGGTACACCAACATGGAAACCCTTTTTTATAAAGTGCCAGACTGGTTTGGACCAGTTAGACGGGTTGATGAGAGAAGGCGCTAAAGCCACTTGGCCTAGCACTCTGCCACATGGGGAGGGCAGAAGAACCACAGTGTTGTCACTTCATACTGGGACAGCTAGACAAAAACAGAACGGGGGAGCTTGTCCACCACAGGAATCTGTGGTCTAGAGTCGCTGCTATCCCAAGTATGTGTATTGCACTCCCATATCGCTGCATAGGCTCTGGATGCTCTTTTTTCTGGGGGGGGGGGAATCCTGCCTGAAAAATGTTGGAAGCTTAACACTGCTAAATGACTGTGGCCACAGTCTAACAAAACATTTACCCCCCCATGAGTAGACATAAACAAGAGGCCTAAGAGGCATGTAGTTAAATCCGAAATGACTAATTAAATCATGTGGAAACGATTCCCTGCCAAGATGTTGAATACTGAAGAAGCTGGTGGTTAAATCTGTCTCCGACCTTACTGAAGATTTCAGAATGTTCCCCATTTTTCTGTGGCGACAAATAGCACTCTAATGATATTTAGATGCCTTAGCGGCTGCGGGGTGAGCGCGGCTCGCACAGGCCCATGTGCTTTTGGTCTGCAGCCAGTTCCCCCTGCAGGAAGGCGCAGTGCTGGAACAATCCAGACAGGCCTGCAGCTGGCTTCCTCTGGGCCCTGCTAAGCCCCAGCAAGGACAGTTTTAAAAGCTGTGAACTGACCTGCAGATAAACAGTCCTCTGCCCGCTACAGCGGGGATTTGTTCTGGAGGTTGAACTCGTTCCTGAGTAGCAGCCCGAAACAACACATGCATGCCCATGCTAATGGGGTTTAGGGGATTCTGTTTCTGTATGACCATCTGACGCTGATTAGAGCCTGTTACCGTTATGTTCAAGATGGCCAAATGTATGTTTGGCAGTGTATTAATTTTGAGCTTTGACAGTTGTTTTTTATGGTGAGCTTTGTCAAAATCTGTTCGTATCAACTTTTCCTGGGCTCCTAGGAAAAAAGTAAACTCTAAGAGGTCATATTTTATCCAACAGCAAAGATTTCAGTGGACACTTTGCAAAGCACCCAGAGGATAACCACAGTGTTCACATGAACAAGTGAGATCATTATTGATTTCATGAGCTCATGCACGATGGAAACTGTAAATGTTAAATCAGGAAGAAATACATCTTATAGTTTTAACACCCTCACGCAAAGCGCAGTGAGCTTTTTCCCCCTCCAGTCCTTTTCCACATCACTTTAGTTTTCAGAATGTTTATTGGTTCTGTGGATGTTATGACTCCAGCGTGCCTGGACCGATTACAACTGCGAAATAGATCCTTTCTAATATAATCAGCCCAATCACTGAGGGTCAGAGGTGATTACTCAGCTCTGTTACCATGGAGAAAGCTATTGTTTAGTTAACTAATTGTGTCACCTCTCCTCTCTTCTCCCTTCCAGACGTCTGGAGCAAAATGGGATTAAGTCTGTTCCTCCCGGAACCTTCTCTCCCTACAAGAAACTGCGCAGGATGTAAGTAAAGCCGAATGTTCATCTCAGGGCTAAATGATACAGATGGGAAAAAGACTCTGGAGGCTGAAAAAAAAAAGCCAAAATTGTCAGTCCCCTCATCCCACTTCCAAAGGCCATGCAGTATTTATTTTGTCTGTGCCTTGAGAATGTAGTCCTGTTTTCAGTCTTGGGGTGGCATGGACAGCTAGGAAATCGTACATGTGCATAATAGCAGCTCCAATTTTTTTATTGCTGCCCGCTGATATTCCCCTGGCTAGCACTGTGTCCACTCTGCCTATTCCCTGCTGGAAGGATGATGAGGGGACAGAGGAGGAGTTGGAATGAGGGCTAAAACCTCTCTCTCTCTGGGAGTGAACAGTGACAAGCTGGTGGTTGAGCCAGCTGTCCGGTCACCTTGCCAGCAAACACCAGCCAGCCAAACCTCCAACACCAAGCGGTCTGACATACATACCAGGAGGGATATGGAGGAAGTGGAAGGTTGGGGAGTTTCTCTGCCTCTTTTCCTTTAAGGTTTCTCATAATTTTATAGTTCAACTCTAGGGACAAGAAGAGGATAAGATCAGGTGAATTAAGTCCGTGAGACAGTAAGCAGGGACTCAGAATTTATTGTAGGTGAAGGGAATTGTCAAAGGAAAGTTTCTGTAGTTCAAACTGAAATAGGACTGTGGGGAATGTTTCAGGTGATAATACTTTGACCAAAAGAAACAAACCAAATGCTCTTAAAAGTTCATATTTCTGTACATTTTTCATGCTCTTTCAGCTTATGAATACAAGCTTGAAAATAATTTGTTGTTTCTGAATGTAACAGACCATTAAAAAGTACTGCATTGTTGTAAAGTACACAGAAAACAATGATTTTTTTTAATGTACTTTAACCCACAGGAAAATAAACTAATATGTGCCGTCAGTACCATTTCTAAACCTATGAAAACAATTGCTTTTAGGGGTCAGTTAATTAGTAAAGAGAGATTTTCTAAGTGTAATTTAATCCTGCTGTTATGTGAAGGCCTGAGCAGCATCATGAGGACTACTGTATGGGTTATAGCAGTCAGGTCTCAGATAACATTCAGCTGAGGTAATTTATTAAATAATCTTAATGCCTTGAGTTTTGAAGATGTCCAAGCCATTTTCTAAAAAAAAAAAAGGAAAGATCATGACACAGCTATCAAGACGTAGTTGCCCACCTAAACTGCCAGGCCAAAAGTGTAGAGTACTAACAAGAGAGGCAGCCAATTGAAACTTTTGAGAAGCTACAAAGATTAGCAGCTCAGGTATAGACATTGAAACTTTAGTCATATGACTAAGTGAATATTTAAGTCAACAAGAGTTTCTACTCGGTCTGCAGGCAGCAGTCTTTTTTTTATTCATCAAATGTCTAAGTCAGAGACATTTTCGTGGACGGCCTCAATATGGGGATGTTTGGTTACGTTTTCATGGGCACTCATATTGTAGCTAAAACTTACCACATTGGAGCTTTGCAGCTAAGCTGCACAGCCTCTGAGAGCACAGGCGCTCTGTCTGGTGTATGCCATCGCTTATGTAGCCAATATGCTGCGATCAGGGCTGTTGAAGGGTCTGTGGCCCTGTGCCAACCTGAAATGAGTCAGGCCCTGCCCTCTGATATGGAAGTGTAACTGAGCATTAATAAAAAGTGATTTGTACTTTACCTATTTTAGCATCCACACCTCTTCACCCAGCCTAAATTTTCCGAAGGGAATTTGTAAACACGTGGAGATATGGTCCATAAATATCACTGCAGTCGACACACAGTGAACAATTCTCTGAAGTAAATGACTTTCACTCTTAGAAGAAACAAAGAGGCTTTGAAAATGTTGGAAACAGCTCTGTTTGCTATTTCTACCTGTACTGTGGCTTTCAGTCTATGCCCTAGACTTACCCCTACAGTCGACAGAATATTAGGCATGGGGTAAAGCTGAAGGTGGAATAAAATGCTGCAAACATAAACCAGGCTTAACAATCACAGCTCCATCAATTTTTTCATGGCCACACAAGTAACGTAGAACACTTTATTTTCAATAAAGTTAAATTCGTTTCAGTTTATTTATATAGCACCAATTCTCAACACGTCATCTCAAGGCACTTTACAGTTTACCACATCATATAGTAAAATTGATTCAAAGTTTTCTATCTAAGGAAAACCAGTTGATTGCATTGACTCATTGACTCAAAGGCAATCCCTCACACTAAGCATGCTTGTTGCGGCAGTGGAGAGGAAAAACTCTCTTTTAACAGGAAGAAACCTCCAGCAGAACCAGGCTCAGTGTGGCGGGCATCTGCCGAGGCCGACTGGGGTTCAGGGAAACAGAAGCAGCGATATAAAAGGGGACTGTAAAAGGCGGCCCCATCTAGGAAACACACAGCGAGGCAGACGAGCTCTGAGCCAGCTCCCATGTCAGAGGATAAAGAAAGCACATCCAGGCAATCACAGTTAGAGAAACAGGACTACACTGAAAAACAGGCCAATGTCACAGCAGCACAGCTGATATTTCTCCCCAGGATGGCGTCACAGCCAAACAGGAACAGACGAGGCTGTGTAAAACTATACACAACATATTCACTGCACAGGAACTCTAAAGAATGAAATGAATAATGCTCAGAAACTGTTCGTGAGAGGCAGCTCTGTCCTACATAGCATCTGATTGGGCTGATAAATTCATCCAATGATTCCCAGAGTGACTTACTGAATTCCTCCTTCATTTTAATTTCCTTTCTCCAAACCAGATTTTTGCTTGTTAAATCAGTTACATCCTCTTATACTTATACTTGCTTTCTCCCACTTCTTTTCTATGATAGGTGTAATGACATTAACGATAAAAAAAAAACAGCTATATTTCCTGGATTTTTTTTTTTATTTACTTTTTTGTGTCCTTGACAGAAGAAATTCAGAAATTGCAGCCATGAGCCTCTGTGTGTTTTCAAAGTTCTTACAGCCTATGTGACAGCTCTTCTTTTCAGCTTGAATCGCCTATGTCAAAATTGTCAGTCACTGACAAACGCTGTAAATGCAGACTACAGCGTAAACGGAAATATCAAAAAATTTGTTCAAATGTCATATTTCCATTATTGAAAAAATTATATTGCAATATATTGACATTGAGTTATTGTCCTATATTCAGATAGTAGACATACTGCCAATGACCTGTAGCTGTAGCCAACCTTTCTGAAAAATATTAATCCATAGGAGATAAGATATTTTGTTCATCATTCTTTTCAGATGAATATTTAACTTCTCCTTTCATTCCCTTCAATATTATGTGGTGATTTGTGTTGGTGTATGACATCTCTGTTGATGAAGCTGGAAATGTACTGGACCTTAATTGTATGTGTCCAACACTTGGTAAACAGTGTGTATACAGTGGCTGTACATTATGATAAATACAACCATAGTGTTGCTTGATTCTCAGAAATGGGAAACTATTCATATTATATAAAGATTGTTTGAGGAATCATTCTTCAGGATTGTCTAGTTTATAAAGCCAACCACACATTTACTTCCACCTTCCCTCAGTTTGAACGACCTACACATGAACCACTCGTTGAGACAGGGATGCTAAAACAGCCCTCACATGTCGACACACACACAAACACTTCAATGTCTGAGTTTACAGACACACACAGATGCATACGTTGGCCACCAATCTTCGATTTCATTTCCAGGAAACCTCAGCACTTGCAAGAAGACAAATGGCTCCTTATTTAACTGTTACCCCCAAATGAGAGAATATCCCTCCTCCTCACCACATGATGATTTTCCTTCAAAGGTATCAGGTCTGCTGGAGTACAGTCCACATACTCCATTGAGTTTCTTTCTCCATATGTCTTTCTCCCTTTCTGTCTCACTGTTCCTCATTTACTTTTGCATTTACTCACACAGACAGACGCACACATAAGCTCATGGGCACAGAGGCTTAGTGGTTATCCTGTGGTGAGAGGCCTGTGGATCCTATTAAAATTGGTGATGTTCCGAGGCAGTCTACTGTATCTTGCTTTGGATTTCAACCTTGCATCACATTCTTACACACCGCAGTGGAAGATTTGGTTGTTAGGCCACAAATAATGCAAGCAAATGTTTAGATTGGCTGCAAGGTTGAATTCAGGAGTGGTGCCATATAGGGGACTGGCACCTATGCACATCCAGTTTAAACTTCACAATCTTTCAACCTTACTATGGTGTTAAAAGCTCTGTTTATTGGTCCTTTGCAGAAGACTTAAGTTCTGGGTCTGACACTTGTTTTTGTACACAGAGACCTGAGCAATAACCAGATCTCAGAGATAGCTCCTGATGCCTTCCAGGGCCTGCGCTCTCTCAACTCCCTGTAAGTAATCCAAATCTGAGTTGGAGCATAAAAAGCTGCTTGATTGTAGTTTGTTGTGTCTATAAAGTCCATGCCCTGAATCTGCAGTGTGCTGTATGGAAATAAGATCACCGACCTGCCAAAGGGTGTGTTTGATGGCCTCTACTCTTTGCAACTGCTGTAAGTCAAACTCTTTGCTGATCCTCTCCAGACATCCTGAAAAACAGGAATGACTTTGAAATAAACCTTGCTTAGATTTTACAGGTATATTTGGAGATATTTTGACAAGCTGCCTCCCCCTTACTCCTCCTTATGTTATAATTTTTTTTTTTAGGCTGCTGAATGCCAATAAGATTCATTGCGTTCGTGCCAACGCCTTCCAGGATCTGCAAAATCTCTCCCTACTATCGCTGTATGACAACAAGATCCAAACCCTTGCCAAGGGCACCTTCACATCACTACGAGCTATACAAACCCTGTGAGTCAAACACAAACAGATTTACTCACTCTGACACATGCTTAGCCCTTCACCATAAAGCATGAGCCAATACAGGAGGCGTTTACTTGCAGGTCTGTGTAATAACACAGAAACGGTATCATGAAGTGGAAAGTAAAAATTATTCATCTTCCTTCCAAGCACACGCTGAAAGCTGGAAATCAACAACCTCATTTATGGTTCCTTGCAACTCTCCTTGTACTTTTTGGTTCATGTTGCCACATTGAAATCACAATTTCAGGCAAATTTGAAGGGGTTTTTATGTAATAGTCAAACACAAAGTAGAGAAGGGCTATGAAAAAGAAGAAAAAAAAAACTTTTTTTAACAAATGAATTGAAAAAAAGAATGGTGCTCATTTTTGAGTCTCACTGAGTCATTTCTCTTTAAAACCAGCTGCAGTTACAATACAGCTGGAAGGTTATTTTAGATATTCTGCATCTCAGTTCTGCACATCTAGACACTTAAGCATTGGCCCAAATCTTCTTCACAAAATAGGTAAGTTAGATCAGAGAGCCTCTGTGGACATTAATTCATAGTCTTGCCACATAGTTTGTTTTGCATTTAGGGTATAATGAAAATGGTTCAATTTAAACTTTTCCACTGAAGCTTTAGAGAATTGTTTTGGGCTCTTGTCCTGCTGGACAGTGAACTTCTGCTCCAGTTCCAAATTGTATCTGCCTGTAACAGATTTTTTTTTTCTCTGTATAATAACTGTGACCAACTTCTCTGTCCCTTATTGAATTTTGCTTTGCTCTGTGAAAGGTTGGAATATCTAACTTCATCTTTGACCTGTTTCCCGGGTTCCTTGGTTGGCCTGTTTACTTATTTTCTCTAACAAACCTCTTTGGCCTTCACAGAACAGCTACAATTACAGCCAGATGAAATGACTTCTTGGCAGACTCTATTAACTAATTTGACTTGTAAAAGCATTTGGTTGCACTGGATTTGATTTAGAGGTATCATAAATTACATTTATTCAGACCACGATATATGATCCTGAATGTCAAACTAAAGTCCTGTCCAAAGATCGTTGCAGTTCTTAGTTATAACTGTATTTTATACTGCCTTTTTTTTCAGAGGGTTCATTTAGTGACTAAAAAACTATTTCACTTCAAAATGTAAACCCCAGCTGATATGCTAAAATAGCAGATTATGAATGATGTCAGCATATATGGGAATCCACCTGTCATTGAATAAAAAAAAAGAAGGAATCATTGAAGGAGCTCCTTAAACACTGTAACTCTGATGAAAAGCACAGTAGTGAGCTGAACAGTAGAAGAGGGTGTAGAAATCTGTAAGGGAGAGGATGATTATTTTTTAAATACTGAAGGAAATCCTTTTTACATCCTTCGTCTAAGGGCAGAATAATGCCCAGGAAGTAGACAAATCATTATTCAAGTGAGTTACAAAGAGAGGATTTCAGAAGGCACACATTACCACTTACGACCCATTCATGTTCACAAACAGCATGTGTTTGACCCAATGAGTTCTTTAACAGGGCTTTAAAACTGACAGTATGATGAATGTGTCTGAAGGCAGGCATGTCTGTACGGTATGCAAGGGGAAAAGTAAAATGTTGCATGTAAAATATTGTATAAACAAAACAAAAAAAATAAATCATTAGTGAACTTGATGTCAAAACTAACCATTCAAAAGAACTAAATTCCAGTTAGCATGAATTAAGTTTTAAAAGTGATGGTTGAACTATTGGTTGATAAAACATCTCAAAGTTTAGGACTTGCTTCAATAAAATATTATGGTTCTAAATACAAGAGTTGCAATTCCAACACTTTGTTTAAAGAAACCCAGAATAAGTCATTTTCGTTTGCAGTTTGTCACAAGCTGTAAGAGGAACCTTGGCAAAATATAAGTAAGAAGGTGCTCCGGTCAGATTAGACCAAAAATAAGCTTGTTGTCCTACATCCACAGTGGTATCTGTGTGGACTAAAACTAACACTACATGTAACACTGAATACTCCCTCCTCATGATGTTAAATGATGATGGCAGCTTCATGCAGCAGGACCATAAGCCAAAATAATATACATTTAGCTCTACTGTTAAGGTTTAGATATATAATGCATATCACACTTTTATATTTTATTTGTGTAAAATCTTAAAAGAATATGTCACTTGAACTTGCAATTATTCAGCATTTGGCCTCATTATATACCCCACTGCAGACAATACATTGAAATTTGAAGTTATATAATAAAATGTGTAGAAAAGTTGGGGTGTAAATATTTTTTTACAGTTCATAGATTGTGTTTTTACTAGGAGTAAAACACTGAAATAGTAAAATATGGTGGTCTGAATATTTCTCTTGATAATCTTCTAGTAATGCTGACAGTGGTGCTGTTGATTCCCCACAAAGCAATGAACTTTGTGATTTCTTTTTATTCAAGTTTTTGTTCACTCATTTATCTCCCCTCCAGACACCTGGCCCAGAACCCATTCATTTGTGACTGTAATCTGAAGTGGCTGGCAGATTACCTGCGTTCCAACCCTATTGAGACCAGCGGTGCCCGTTGTGCCAGCCCTCGGCGCCTCGCTAACAAACGTATCGGACAAATCAAGAGCAAGAAATTCCGCTGCTCTGGTAGGCTCCAGACATGTCCTCTGTCTATTGTGGTGGTATCTTGTTTATTGTTTTTACTTCCAAATCAAAACTTTGTTTTGTTTTCACCTCTTCTATCCTAACTTTACCTGTCTGGAATCACTACAGTTGAATATCTCTGTTTTTCAGTTTGTAATCTAGGTATTTTCTTAAAGATCATTGCTTTTCAAATGGTTTATTAAGAGTTACCAATGCCTGCTGTTATTCCTCAATCAGTGCTCTCCTCCAGACTGACTTTTAGTTGGTTTCTCTTCACTACTCCTGTATATTCAAAATGAGGGTCTGATTTAAATGCTGACCACAGCTAGCTGAAAAAAAAGTGACAGTATCAATTTTTGGGGGCAAGAAAAAAAGTGACAGTATAAATTTTTTGGGGCATTTATATTTTGGTATGGGTGATTTAGGTAATTTAACAAAATGTAACAAAATTCTGAGATTTCCTTTAAATATCGGTCTACTTGTTCACTGCTCTCTTGTCACCAGGCTCAGTTTCCTTCATTTTCCCTCCATCTCCCTGACTTCCCACGCCTTGTGCCCACCATTGTGTTTTTGCACTGTACTGTGCTCTCTGGCACCATGCACCACATAGGTTTAACAATGTTTTAAAGCCTTGTTTGTTTGGCTAGACCCAATGTTAACGGGATTCCATGTTTTGCTTTCAACAGCTCCCTCCACTCCCCTCCCCTCCTTGACAATGACCTGCCTTTCATCCACCTTTCTTTATCACTGTCTCCTTTTTTTCCTTCATGTCCCTCTTCCTTAGCAACAGCAAAATATTTACCACCATTGTGCTTTGTGACTAGTTTCTCCACATTTCCATAAACAGAGACAGTCACCGGCTTCTCTGTCTGATTGTGTGCAGTCATATATAAATTCTATATATGACTGTATTGATGCATAGCGGTGGCATGGCTATGCATATCTGACCAACCTCACTGACATCCGTCCCTCTGTTTTTCCTCCATCACAGCTAAAGAGCAGTACGTCATCCCAGGTGAGTAGCTTGTAAATTTTCACACCTGTCATTATCATTAATTGTGAATCTTGGGTTATGCAGTCATATAGTGACATCACTCTGTTTCCACTGCTGTTCATTTTCATTGAAACACAATGAAACATTAGTTTGTCTTTACCACCTTGTGTCATTTTGCAAGGATTTTTGCAGCACTGGAACATCCAGACCCTTAACAATGACAAAAAATATAATTTAAAGAGGTGGCCTTTTGTGTCACTGGAACAATAATATTGCTTTGAGATTAAGTTTTTGTGTTGTGCTTTGCAAAAGGACTTTTCCAATTAAGCTTTTTGCCTATTTGTTATTTTACAAAACCAAACAAAAAATATATTGAATTGGGATATTTATGGTAGATTCACAAAAAAAATGTTTTTTTTTCAACTTTTTAACAAATTAATATCTGACAATTATATGATGGATGTATAACTTGTAACATGTCTAATGCCCCTAAAGAAGAGTCAGTAAAATCAGTATAAACAATATTGTCTAAGCAATATGGAGAATTAATTTTTCATAAAATAACAGTTCCTTTTTTCAAACCCAGAAGAAAGACATTGGCGTTCTATGAAATTCCCCCCTTCCGTTTGTGGGGAGCGCCCATTTCATGATGTTGCCAAATCATGACACTTCAAAACAAAATACCACTTTGTGCATTATTGTGATGAAGGAATAGCAGACGTAAAAGCTAAAACAAATTGCTTTTAAAATGTCTTTACCGTCCCAGGCTTGAAGGCCACTCAGAGAGGGAGAAGCCATAACTCCAGAATCAACATAAGATGCAAAATTGTTTGAATGTATCCTTAGCAACAGAAATCTTAATTTTTTATTTTAATTTACTGGAAAAAATGGGAAGCTTGCAAGTCTCAGAACACCATCCCAACTCCAAAGTAAAGGGTTGGCAGCATCATGTGGTGGGGATGTTTTATGGCAGGAGGGATATGCTCACTGCATAAAATATAAGAAGTCATGAGAAAAGAGCATTATGTGGAAATAATTAAGGAAGATACTGAAAGCCAAAAAGGTAAAGCTTTGGCAACATCCACCTTGACAATGACTTCAAGTCTACTGCCAGATGGCTGAAGGCTAACTGAGTTCATGTTTTGAAGTGGTGATAACAAAGCGCTTATTTAAATCCCAACGAAAACCAGTGCTCTCAGTAGGAATTTCAGTATTTAGACTGATTTTATATTTTTTCAGTTTAGAGTACCTTTTTAAACTATACTTTTAATATTTATACTATGTAAATATCTGCTTTCAACTGTGCATAGGTGTAACTAATTCATATGACTGAGCCCATATGTTTCATCTTGGCTCTGTTTTCCTAGTGGTCTCAGCACTTTGGGTCAAAAGGAAGTGTGTCTTTGCTTTGGCTTTAGGACAGAGACTTGGTCACCATGAGAAAAAAGAGTGAAAGAGAGAGAGAGAAAGGGAGCAGAAAAAAGAGAGGAGAGAGAGAGTGTCCTTTCCAGCAGCCAAGCTAGAGCAAATAAAGCCTGCCAGAGGACCCAGATTCTTATCAGGGAATGTTTCCGGACCCCTCAACAAGAACACTTCCAAGCAAATAACTTTGAGGAGCAGTGATGTGTGTCAAAGTCTGTGTTTGTTAATTGTACTGTGCATGCTTGTGTGATTCATTGTCAGCACCAACAGAACTCTCTGTATGTAAATCAATGTGCCTTTGTACGCATAGTTAAGATAAGCCTCTGAACTGACTTAGGGAAGAAATGGGAGTACTATGAAAGCACTGGAGAGATCAAAGTGGAATGGATTAATGAGAATTTCACCCTCCATCAAAGATAACAAACCCCAAACATTCGTATACCATAAACAAAACACACAGTCAGTGACTGCAGAACAAGTTGCTTATAGGAAACCTAGCTACCAAGACTTAAGGAACTACTTTATCTCCAGTGATGAGTCATTTCTCTTCAAAAAGGGAAAAACTCATACAACTGCTCTCTGGTTTTTGCACTTTCCCTGTAAATCTGCCAACAGTAAAAGTGTCACCACCACGCACTTGTGACGCTGATGATGACTCAAGCTCACTAAGTCTCCCCCGGCTCCTCCACATCCCCAAGATCAAAGGCCTTTCCTTGTACTTTCATTGCTTCCTCTTGAGCAGGAAATGCCTTTTCCTGTTGTCTGGCTGAACAAGAGAAAGTTCCTTAATGATCTGCCTCGCTGCGTCTGTCTGCATCCTGGTTAGAGCTTCTCAGAGAAGTGACACTAATTTGGAAAAAAAAAATATTTGTCAAGGGAAGATATGACTTGTTTTCCTGAATGTAGTTCTCCCTCTCAATGCCATCAATTAGGGTTAAGGATTAGGCTGTGGTTGGTAAACCCACATCTTTTATTTGGATAGAGCTTTTTGTTTATACGAACCATGTTATTTTGTTCTGGTTATTTAAGGTTTCCCAATCCATGAATATGTGGTCTGTGCTCCCCATGGTGTCCCACTGACGTCATTTTCAAACTCTTGCATATTTCTGCACCACTGCAGAACACAATGCCACACGAAGCAATATACTAACAGAAAATCCTGGGCTGTACCCTCTAAATGGAGCATTCGAACTGAGACACACTGCAGAGTTGCAGGGACACAGACACATTGTTCTAAGTAACTCCCAGTGCTGATCCATTATTAAGAACCCATGATGTAACTGGCAGCACACTTTTTGGCACGTAACGTCTATTCATAGACAGAGGAGGTTCAGCAAAGCATTGCACACTCCCTTTGGGGCTTCATTCTTGCTCTCTCTCTATAAAGTCTCTCTAACACTTTTTATTTCTTTCTCATTTATTTAACTTTTCATGCAATTGTCTCCTACCTTCAGGTATCTACCATACGCCTTTTTGCTTTTTTTACTTCCCTCTTCTCACTTATTTTCTACTTTCCCCCTCAATATCCAACCTTTTGAGCTCTCTGCCTCACTAAATCTGAGTACACAGATCTACTATAATCTACTCCAATGCTCTTACGGCTCTTTAGAATAATTCTCCTTTACCAAGTAATCTGTTATTTAAAGCTTATTCTCTTTGTATACGCACCAGCCAGTTGGATAGGTGAACCCTACTTAAGAGTCCTGCCTTAATTTATATTGGCATTACGGGATAAACAAGGTCAGCAACTATACTCAAGTTGGCTGTTGAAATGGTGTGCAGTTTTTGCTAAGGGGTAAAAAGTGTTCCAACAAAGGTATATCCCACACCCCCACTATCCTGAACCATGGATAAATGCCAGGATGTATTGATGCTTTCATGTTTTTAAGGTCAAATTCTTTCCTCATCATCAGAACATTGCAGATGCAGACTGAGAATGCACTGGATTTCTGCCATGGGACTGGCTGATTCAGCATTAGTTTGAAAAAGCAGTTAAACAATTGTACCTTGTTCATTATGTGTATGTCTGTATCTTGATTTCCTTAGGTACAGAGGACACTCGTCTCAACAATGCCTGCAATACAGACCCTGTGTGTCCTCCCAAGTGTCGCTGTGAGTCTAACGTAGTGGACTGCTCCAACCTGAAACTCACCAAGATCCCAGAGCACATCCCTGCATCCACAGCTGAACTGTAAGGAGTATTTTTTAAACTCCACACACAAAAGGTTTGACTAATGTTAGCCTTTTTTCAAACGTTATTGCCTCATTCTCTTTAGCCGCCTAAACAATAATGATATCACCACTCTTGAGGCAACTGGAGTCTTTAAGAACCTTTCCCAACTGAAGAAAATGTGAGTTAAACCACAAATTTACCCTTTCCCTTAATAGTGCACATAGACGTAACATAGACTTTCTAATTACAGTAACCTGAGTAACAACAAGATCACAGAGATCGTGGATGGGGCATTTGAAGGTGCATCCTCCGTCATTGAGCTTCACCTTACAGCCAATCAAATCGATTCAGTTCGCAGCGGGATGTTCCGAGGCCTCGAGGGACTGCGCATGCTGTGAGAGATCTATTCCACAACGATATCAGAGACAATGCGCTGAAGTCTATGAAAGCATGTCATATTTCCGTGTCATTGTTTTGTTTGCAGGATGTTGAGGAATAACAAAATCAGCTGTGTCCACAATGACAGTTTCACTGGGCTTCACAATGTCCGTTTACTGTCGCTGTATGACAACCATCTGACCTCCATTACTCCTGGAGCCTTTGACACGCTGCAGACTCTCTCTACGCTGTAAGAACTTTTGGTATAAATACCTCTTTTGCTGTAATTTCTGATTTCCTGGCTTTGAACTTGTTTTAATCTTTCATTCCTTCAGTAACCTCTTGGCCAACTCTTTCAACTGTGACTGTCGTTTGGCATGGCTGGGTGACTGGCTGAGGAGCAGAAAAATTGTGACAGGTAACCCTCGCTGCCAGCGTCCTGCCTTCCTAAAGGAGATCCCTCTGCAGGATGTAGCAATGCCTGATTTTCGCTGTGAGGAAGGTGGGTACCGTACTTTAACTTCACTTTTTTTTCTAAAAGTTATTGTTTAAACTGTAACATCATCTTCTCTTCGCTAAGTGGAATCATTTTTCTTGAAAGGGGATATGTGTTCCCAATATCCTTCAAAATGTGTGTAACTAACTTGTGAGTTTGACTTAAAGATTTTAGAAACACTCCTTTGCACAATATATATTCTGAACAAGACCTGTCGAAAGTGCCTGAGATCATCCTGAATAATGGCTGCTATTATTTGACTCTTTTGTTTGCAGAATAGATTGCAGTTCAGCAGTTTCTAAGCTGCCGGTCGATGCAGGGCTGAGTGCAGTTGTAGTATTGAGCTGTTTGTCTTATTGACGATTCAGCCTGTTTGCACCTGACTGGTTGTTAGTCTTGTCTTCTGCCTCAGGCAGCTTCCATTCTTTGCTCCTGTTGGTCGATATCACGTTAGGGAGCCCTCCATCACCTGTTCTGTTTCACTTTTCACTTTCTTTAACTGCTTCATCAGCTTGAACTGAGATACCTTGTCTGTGTCAGGGTGTATTTTCAGTACAGTGCCGTTCACTTTAATGGTTACCCTCGTATAAAAAAGGAAAAAGGTTTTTGATAACTTAATCTTGAATTGGATATTTATAATGGCACACTAAAAAGTTTTGTAATATTTTTGCTTTATTTAGAGTGCGCATGTTGTGAGTTACAAGAGCTACAATCTTAATTAACAATGTGTTTGCAACAAAATACCTGGATGTACAATTGTTTTTACTCTTGATGTAATTTTTTAAACCCTCCCTTTTCTAAATGGAAAGAACTAAACTACAGAAATTTGCAATCCTTTAAAAATATAGATGTCTGTCTTTTGCTGCTGAAACAGTTGTTTTAACTCAAACATAGTCCTGGATTCCTATCCACTTATGCTCTCTTCTGTTTAGCTCAACATACGTTTTGTATAGAATTTATGTCTGATGACTGACTTATCAATGGAAGAACTTTAATTATGTGAATAAGGTCTTTTTTATTTTGGCAGCAAGTTTAGTTTTATTGCAGAGATAACCTGACCTTTATTTTAAATGTTCATTTATTTATGTTGCCATGCACTTTCACAACATTTAAAGGGCCATCGGTAGCAGAAACAGCCCCGCAGCATGGTAAATAACCCACCATACTGACATTTTTTGCTTCATTCCAGTCATGTATTCTGCTGGTTTGAAAAAACATGATTTTTCTTCTGGCATGTTTTTCAAACAACTGGTTGAATGTAATGGAACCTGATAACCCTAAGATGACCATCTTCATTTCCATAAAAGATAAATTTAGTTATATTTAACATTTTTTAGCCTTCCTCTCACTATTTGTGTTGGCAAGATAAATGTGGGTCCCCCTTAACAGTGTTCAATAGTTTAAAAAAAAATCACCCTCTGTGTCAGGGATAGAACAAGGTATGAACTTTAAAATGAAAATTTCTTTAAATTCTAATTTTGTTTAAGTGCTTTAGTTAGGTGTATTATTAAAAGCTATTTAATAGTCCCATTTAAGATCAATTATGTGATAACTAAATGCTTTACCCAACTGATCAAATATAATCAGATTTTCTAGGTACAGTATGTAAGATTATGATAAAATAAAAATAAAAATAATAAATATTTTTACACATCTGTTACAAGCATGCAAAATAAAACTGAAATTGAATGCAAATATATGCACATATTGGGGCCTAGTCTAATATAACTATAACATAGAGCAGGTACAAATAACACAATGGTTGGCATCTTAGTCAGGATTGATGTATTGCTTTAATTTAAGTGGACATTTAATAGCAGCCCCTCTTTAGTGATCACTTTAACTCTCCTTTCTCACCAGGCCAAGAGGAGTCAAGCTGTGTTCCTCGACCCCAGTGTCCCAGCGAGTGTACTTGCCTTGAGACTGTAGTGCGCTGCAGTAACAAGCATCTCCACACACTACCAAAAGGCATCCCCAGGAATGTCACAGAATTGTAAGTATCTTGGCAGTGATTCCTGAATCACTTTATATCAGGCCTTCCTCTGCTGTGTTTGGCAACACCTTGGGGAGATGATCTAAAAACAAAAGTGGTATGAGGCTTGGAGAACAAGTAAAAGGTAACAGAATATCCAGTCGCTTGGAGAGAAAGAGAGTCAATAACCCTGCAGTTATTCTCCCAGACATTCTTTGTCTTCTTCTGCGTTCCTTGCTACCCTCAGGGCACTGATGTCACTCTCACACTCAGAGCCAAGGATGTGCGAGAGAGAGAGAGAGTATGAGTGCGTATTTATGTTAGGGCCACAGGGCTGTCCACGGGTGCAAAGGGGAGCCACAGCACATTTAATAAGCAGCTTTCAATGGAAAAGGGGAGGGAATGGGTCTGAAACTTTCCAATACTGCCTCATTTGGTTCTTGTGATGCTTGCACACGCTGAGCAGGCCTTAAGGCCTGTCATTGTCCCAGCAGGTGTGACCAGGTATATCTTCTGTTCTGGGCTTTCATCTTGTCATCTGGAGAGTTTGCTACTCCATCATTATCCCAAGCACCCTCTGCACTATCATTACCTATCATTACCAGTGAACCCAAAGGCCTGCTAACTAACTGCCCCCCCGTTCTCCAGCCGCTGCCCTTCCCACCTTCTGTGGAGTCAACAATAGCAGAAGCCTGGAGTTCTACTGGGTGGGGGGTGCCTCCAAATGAGCCATTTATCAACATGACAGTCAACATGTAGGACTTGGTGTTAGGAGTCAGAGGGCTGATTGCTTTGCTGCAGGCATAATGTTGACTTTGGTGGCCTAAACTGTTATCAGATGCTCCAGTCTGTATCGTGTCTCTTTCATAATTGCTATGATTCAGTGAGAGTTTCATGATTATATTATTGTCTCAGTTGATTCTCACAGAAATATTAGCCCTTTATTAAAACTGAGAAAGCTGTCATAATGTGCATTCATGGTGCAAGTTTATGCTCCATTTTGCCCAACATTGGATGAAAATACTATTAATTACCACAATTTATTAGGTACTATCCTGATGTTACCACAGATAAATATGCTGAGACAAATGCTTGTCCTGGATTTGATGTATCCAAACAGTAAATACAAAAGTAAGACTCTGATTGGCAGAAGAGATTTGTCTCTGTTAAGATTCTAATATGTTAACACCCTGCTTCCACCTATGAATTATTTTTGGCCAATTTCTTCCTTTCCTTCCATTTTTTTTTTGAATGATAGAATACATTACGGTTTACAAAAATACAAGTTGGCTTTATTTTGCTTTTTTTTTTTTGCATTTTGCAATCCTTGCATTCAATTTCTCAATGGAATCAGCTACCTTAACCCAGATAGCAATCCTTTTTTTTTTAAACAAGCGGCATTATGTGTTAAATTTGTCTGCATTTTTTGTCACTACACATGTCCCCAATGTGTTTAACTGAATATAGAAACTGTATATTTCTAGTTCCTTATGATGACATTTGTTGAGAACATGTCCAATAAACATAAATAAGCTATGTAAAATTCTATTTAATTGAAAACTTTTGTTTCTCCTTTTTAGGTACCTTGATGGAAACCAGTTTAGTATTGTTCCTAAGGAACTGTCTTCCTTCAAATACCTGCAGCTGGTGTAAGTTTTTCTTTCCTTGCATAATCTTTTAAAAGCTGCATATATCTTCCTGGTAAAGATGCTTATTATTGCTGAACCTTCTTTTAAGGGATCTGAGCAACAACAAAATCAACACGCTTTCTAACTCCTCCTTCGCTAACATGAGCCAACTGACCACTCTGTAAGTCCCAATTTTAAAACCGAACTTTAACTTTGGTTATTAAAGTTAAAAAGAATAAAAACTTCATCTGACATATGTGAAATTAATTTCAATCTTCCCAGAATCCTGAGCTACAACTCCCTGCGCTGTATACCCAAAATGGCTTTCAGTGGACTGCACTCCCTGCGACTGCTGTGAGTTTATTTATCAATGTTTGAATTCATTTTTCAGGTTTTGTTACTTTAAAAGCTCACTCTTCAATATACTGTATTTAAATTGAATATGATGATATGAGCACATTTTGGGGTAGTATTAGAACAAATATCTACAATTTTCAAATGCTTTTACCAACACAATTCAGAAAATATGTTTAATTATGTAACTTTCCACTCCTTTCCATTGTAGTGCCAGCAGGGGAACTGTTTTTCTCTCTGATTTTTACTGTAATAGTGTAATCTATTCTACAGTGAACGACCAACTTTGTCTCCTTCTGAAAAAAACTGTCATCCCAGCATATTTCATGTTTCAAATTGGGAAGAGCATATCCAGGGGTGTTGTGCAGTATATCTTGCTCCATACGTGGTATTTGGTTTTTATAGTGTAAAACTGTTAATATTAGTGTCATTTAACCAGAGTAGCACCACTTAGTAATTTAATATGGTTTGTACAAAATTATTCTTAAACAAAACTCATGCTTATATTTTATCAAATAAAGGTGAAATTTATTAACTACTTAGTTTTTGTCAAAGATTACGAGACATAAGGGGGCCGTATAGAAATTTATCTTTAAACTTTATTTTAGACTGTCACTTTAAAATCCAAATAAAATCCACTGGAGTTGTTGGGTATGAAAAAGGTAAAGTATTGTGCAAATTTATTCTGAATTCAGTTGCATTTGATGACAAGCTAATTTTAATTGCGTCACACTGTTGTTTTTGCATCTATAAATCTTTCTGAAGTCACATATTTTCAGTTCTTAGCTCCCATCAAAGATCGTTGTAAACAACTGAAGTTGTAAAAAAGATAAAAAGACTCTAAAACCAGACAGGAAACACTTTTAGGTCAAACAAGTCATTAAGGAGGATATTTGTGAAGCGCCTGCTGACTTAAGCAATGGTTGTGCACAGGAAAAGAATCTTTGATTGACTCTTGAGGACTGAATCTGTCTGAACACTTCTGACGGCTTTTGAGTTCACTCTCACAGACTCCGACGTATTTTCTCTATTTAAATGGCAGATATGGGCGTAGCAGCCACGATCTTGATATGACTTCCACTCCCAGTTATGCCTCCTTCTTAGACGTCTTTCCAGGCCTGCTTATTTGCCTCTTAGCCGACGGAGCTCATCAATACCTGACCGTAAAGGCCGAGCATGGGCCCCCACTGTACAAAATCACTCTGACACTGATTACTGGAGAATTTTTTGGCCTGGTAACTGTAATGCATCCAACTCCATCTTGGGACTTTTATGAAGTCACAAGGTCTTTGTGCACTCTCAGTGACCATGGGCTGCTAAATAACTGCAGAACAGAAAGTAAATGAGTTGGACAGAACGATGACGAAATTAAACCAGTTTTTGGAAGTGCATCCAAAGATACAGCAGCTGCACAAAGCAGCAGCCCTCTGACTCCAATCTGCAGTTTAGTTCTTTCAGGAGAAATTGAGACCAGCCCCTGCAGCCCCTCTTTATTAAAATGTGTATGAATTTGTGTGTGTATGTTTGTGTCTGCTTAAAAAGTCCTCATGCTTGTGATCAGTAGACTCTGAACTGTATGTGGGTGTGTGTATGTGGGGGGGTGGTGGTGGGGGGGGTGGGGGGTGCGATATGGGGGTAGTTGACTTCTTAGCCTTCCATGTGTGCTCATAGCAGGCACATTTTTTTATTACTGACAACAAAGCTTCAACAAAGCCTCTTTTTACGGCAGTATTCAAATAAAGCTCCGTATCATAATGAGACACAAAGCATAAAGCCTTCTCAGTAAGCGAATTAGACTGAAGCTCGCCCATCATTAGTCGCTGCCGCCTTGCTACCCCATGCATGCTTCTTTTGATCTCTAATGAAGCTTTGTCCATTATTTCTGCACTTACTCACTCACGCCACCTTCGCCTCTCAAATAGTCCCGGAGCAATCGTGCTAGACGCCATGTGAGGTGCTCCCACCCGCACACAGTCGCGCAGGCTCAGGAATACACACAAAGTAAAGCGTATACACACACACACTCCGTCTAGTCTACTTTGGTGTCACAGTTAGTCAGACGAGAGTCGAAATGAAGCTGAAAACTTTGATGTCTCAATCTTGAGCCTACTATTAAATGCCATTTGGGGCCATGTCTGCGTTCGGTTTTACTAAGCAAAGCTTTTGGGTGCAGCTAATGCCATCTCAGATATCAGCTTCATTTAATAGTTCCAGTTTTAAGACCCCACGGAGGTTGCAAAGTTCAACATTGGAAGCGTCTTCGAAACCGCCATGAGCAGGACACTCTCGTGCTTACTTGCACATGCTGAGGTGCCAAAGCCTTAATAAAGCTGCACCTTTGACTTTACACAGCAGTAAAAAGAAGAAGAATCATTAACGCTCCATTCTTCAAACAGAGCTGTGGTTGAAGCCTGCCATACATGTGGTGTGATTGGGGTTAGAGTGATTAAAAGTGTGTATGTGTGTGTGATGGTTGCTGTTTGAGCTATAGATTAATAAGCTGCTAATTGGCCTGCTGGGTATTAGGTGCGAGGTGTGTGAGACGAAACAGCGCCAGGGCGTGGCTTGAGTGACACAGTGATATGAAAGCGTGTGATAAGAAAAGCGATAGAGCCGAAAGTATAGTCTTTCCTGAATTTTAGACATAAAGCGGTATGACAATCTATAGGAAAAAGTGCAGTTAAACAGAATCAATGAGTTAATTAAAAATTTGAAACCTATGTGTTCTTCTTTTATTTAAAGCAGTAAGTTTAAAATATTTTCATATACTTTGCCACCATGAGGTCTGCCCCCTGTTTTCCTTCAGAAATACCCTTATTTATTGCAGCATTTATCCAACAACGTGTCAGAAAGATTCCAAGGATTCCTTCTGATACTGACAGGACAGCTTCCTCTTGTTGTCACAGAGCTGTTGCCTACACATCTAAAAAGTTAATCTCTTGTTCCACCATTCCTCAAAGGTGTTTTGTTAGACTCAGATCTGGTATGTCTTGAGCCCCTTAGAAGTTGATCATCTTAATGTGATATTCACAAACCCAGTTAGAAATTATTTAAGCTTTGTGACATGTTCTTAACCTGAAAAAGTACCCATGACAAAATTGGTATTGTGTTAGTAAAGAGGTGGACATGATGAGCTACTACTAGCATGGTGTATTTCAATTCAGTTTATTTATATAGCATCAATTCACAACACATGTCATCTTAAGGCGCTTTACAGTTCACCAGATCATGCAGTCAAATTGATTCAAAGTTTTCTATCTAAGGAAAACCAGTTGATTGCATCGACTCATTGACTCGAATGCAATCCCTGACACTAAGCATGCTTGTAGCGACAGTGGAAAGGAAAACCCCCTTTTTTTAACAGGAAGAAACCTCCAGCAGAACCAGGCTCAGTGTGATGCGGCCATCTGCCGAGGCCGACTGGGGTTCAAGGAGACAGAAGCAGAGATACATAAAGCAGCTGTAAAAGGCGGCCCCATCCAGGAAACACACAGCCAGGCAGACGAGCCCTGAGCCAGCTACCATGTCAAAGGATGAAGAGAGTACCTCCAGCCAGTCACAGTTAGAGAAACAGGATTTCACTGAAAAACAGGCAGATCTCGAACATCTATAAACAAGGGTGTTGATGGCAGCAGCACAGCTGATATTTCTCCGCAACAGTGGGCAAAGTGCCACCATCGGACTGTGTTCACTGACCTGCAGTGTTGATAGCCATGCTGTCATGTTGTCTGCACCAATTTCTTACTCTATCATCAAATGAAACCAAATCAAACTGTAGCCTCCGTTTCAGGGAGCCCCTCTGGCAGCATCAATCGTTTTCAGGCTTTCCACTTTCTTCCCCATTCTGATGCTCAGTTTAGATTTCAGGTCACATCTAGATGCTAAAGTTGCTTTAGGTTTCTGTCCTGTCCTTTATTTGTTACAAACACATATTTTAGTTGTCTACCTTGACACCTGACCTCAGTACCAACTGTACTAAATCTAGCACCTCATTGAATAGACTTTCAGCCTTAGCAATTACTAATGTACAATTTTAAAGTGTTTTTTTTTATTTTAGTACCATTAACTGGATTGTATATAAAAGGAAGTATAAACTAGTGCTGAAATATGGAAGAGAAAAGTGAAAAATAAAGCATCTCAGGTTGCTTCTTTGAGCCTCCCAGGAAACCTATTTCCCACTAGGTTTCTCCTGGTTGCCTCATGAATCCTTTGAATACAACAAACCACCCACTCGCTCTGCACTAATAAGCATTCTCTACGGCAAGCAAGCTAATAAACATGTTGACTCATACTTGTTACACCGTATATTTTCCCTCTAGTATCCCATATATTTACACTGGCAAACTTTCCTTCACAGCTCAGCTCTTTAAGACATCAAACAAAAGAGGAAGCTGCAATTCGGCAACTGTTCACACACAAAAAAATCTCTTTATCCCAGCTTTGTCATGTATTGTTAGTGCAGATTGATTGGTGGTAACATAAGCTTGTGGTCAGCTGAGGATTTGAGGTGGTAATGACCTGTTAGATTATTGCTGCCATTAATCATCAGACCATTATGCTCTGAAGGCTTGTCACCTTCAATGCTGCTCATGAAATGACAAGAAAACCAGATGAGATGTGGATTGATCTGAAATAACAAAGCACGTGTACTGATCTGAATACAAGTCCTTTTTTCTGCATGGTTATTATTTAGATTTTTTTTTTTATTGTCTTTCATCTGTTGGAATTGCCCCCCCCCCCCCCCCCCCCCCCCCCCCCCCCCCTCAGTGTGCCCTGCCAGCCAAAAACACAATGAAACTTGACACCCGCTGGTCAAGACTCTCTGAGCTTCATATTTTTGCCAGCTGCACAAAGCTCTGCCAGAAATATGAACCACCAGAACACCAACACACAAAAGTGGAATCTCCCTCAAGGTTTTTCCTGAAATTTCTGGTTTGATTTGTTGGAAAACAAAGCTTAGCAACAGGCCAGACAATAGTCTTCCAGGTTATTTGTCTTTCCCTGTTTGTGCGCTTTTTGTTTTTTTTAGCTTTGTTTTAAGTCTAAAAACATTCAGTCTACACTGCAAAAACAATCCAGAAATAAGTAAAAAATGGCTTAAATTAAGTATATTTAGCCTTAATTTGAGCAGGTAAATAAGATGATTTGCCAATGGAATGAGTATTTTCACTCTTAAAATAAGATAGTTAGATAATATTTACTTGAAATAAGACGATAAAATAGTTTTTTCTTATTTTAAAAGGAAATTGTCTTGTTCCATTGGCAAAGTGTCTTACTTATCTCCTCAAATCAAGGAAAAACACACTTATTTTAAGAAAAAATAACTTATTGAGATTTATATTTTTTGCAGTGTAAAAAGAAGAGATTGCTCTAAAAAGAGATTTTATTTTTCATAACTTGGAAAGATAACATTTTTATCTAAGTGAAAGTCTTTAACTTGATTTTTTTATGATGATGTTTTGTGTTTTCTCTAATTTTTTCAGCTCTCTGCATGGCAATGAAATCTCAGAGCTTCCAGATGGCATCTTTAATGATGTGACCTCCCTCTCGCATTTGTAAGTGTTGATAATCTCTTTCTTGCCTCCAAGCAGCTTACAGTATCTTGTACACAATTAGTCACATTACATCCACAAAAGTTATTCTTTTTTATGTTATTTTGAAACTCTGTTGTAGAAAAACACAAAGTACCATATCAACGTAAAGGGGCATGAAAATGATGGATGGTTTCCAACCTTTAGGGTGGGAAATCAATGTCTGAAAACTAAGCATGTATTTGCATTCATCCTCCAATTCAAGAGTCTATAGAACACTGTATTCTATAATTACTGGGGCATTCTTTAGCTGCATGTTTTGCATCTAGACAGTGACCTTTTTTTTCCCCTATTCTACATTGCCAAGTAGCTGAAAATCAGTTTGATTTCACATTTGATGTGCTTATAATACTTTGATCAAAACCAATCTGTTGTAACCCCTGGCTAGAGCTGAGTATCTATTGAAATTCCAAGAAATTATATGAATTATTTTCTTCAGATTTAGAATATTTTTTTCCGATTGAAAATGATCTATCTGATCTCAAAATGGATTGCTTTTATTTAAAACATTGTTAAGCCATTATCTGAATAACATGACTGTGTATGCAGCCTATTGATACTAGTGTTATATCAACATTTAACAGCTTATTAATTCAGTAACAGTAATGCATATTTTAGAAATTGGTCTTTGGTTATATGAATAGATCTTCAGAGTTACTATGAAAATCATTAAGAATTGGAAAAATGATTTTTTTTTATAGCACAGGCCTATATGTTTAGAGTTGTATTCCTATCCTGTTATCAAGATATCCCCACAGCATGATGCTGCCATCTCCTGTTCCAGTGCAGGGATGCTCAATGTTAGCGTTTTGTTGCACATAAGATCTTGCATCTAGGCGAACACCAGATCACCTTCTTCCACATTAGTTTATTGTCCAAAATAGATTTGTAGATTGCACCACAACAGATCCTCCCAATTGAGCTGTGAAACTTTGCAGCTCCTCCAGACTTAGCAGCTTGGTTTCTTTGTTCATTTTTGATTTCTTTGCCTATCTGGTTAGGTTAGGGTTCAGCCTTGAATAGTTTGCTGTTTTGCCACATCCCCCATTTTTGGAAGATGCGTTTATTGTGAATGGACACAATTTAAAAAAGTTTTCAGGGCGGGGCTACTTTTGAAATGTAAATGCATGACCGTAGACTTTGGCTTGAAGTAGGCTCTCAGTGGAGCTCCTTTGATTTCTCTGAGAAACCGTTATCACTTGTGTGGATGAAGCAACAAACAGACACTTATATTGTCACCTCTCTCTGCAACATCTTTTTGTTTATGTACCATCTACCATTTATCTAATGTTTTCTGCTACCTGTGTAGGTGTTAGAATCTCCATGAAAAAACATCCTTGACCTTTGGCATCTAGCCTAGATATCCTCATCTTCTCTTGATTGTTAGGGATCAATAAACCAATCAAAACCTAAGCTGGGATGGAAAGAGGGAGGACAAAATGAACCAAACAAAGACATTTTGTGGGAAGCAGTACCCTAATCGAGGCTGCGTGAAATCTGGATTGAGCTGATAGAAAGGAAGCCATTGATCTGCAGCCACAGTCAAGTGGCTTTTATGTTAGCAAATGACAGGTGTCAGCTATTGGCCTGGCCTGAAAGATGAGCTTGTTCCTCCTTAATGGAAGAGCATCGATTTAGGAGTGTTTGTGCGTCCTGCAGGAGGGCTAAGCCCCATTGATTGGCCACCGCTGCAACAGAGGTGGTTAACGAGGCTTTCCGTTTACACCTTTCCTTACAATTGAGCAGTCCAGATGAAGATTACATATTACACAATGTGGCATTTTGATTTTTTATTTCCTGAGAAGGATTTTTTTTTGTGTAGTTTAGTAGCTGGTTTTCTATGAGGTTGTAGAGACACCTGCTGGGAAAACAATGTACTACAGAAAAATAAAGCATGATTTTTCTGTGTAAAATCAGGGCAATTGGTGCCAATCCTTTGCACTGTGACTGCCACCTGCGCTGGCTCTCTGACTGGGTGAAGACCGGATACAAGGAACCCGGAATCGCTCGCTGTGCTGGCCCACAGGGGATGGAAAGCAAACTGCTCCTTACTACGCCTGCCAAGAAATTCGAATGTACAGGTGAGTTGTTTTAATCAGTTCTAATAATATACTTAAAACAGTCCTTCAAAACACATCAAACTACCTTGTTTCTTTTGGTTTCTGTAGGTAATGTGGACACCTCTGTGCTGGCCAAGTGTAACCCGTGTCTGTCCAGTCCCTGCCTGAATCACGGCATCTGTCACAATGACCCAGTGGAGATCTACAGGTGCAATTGTCCACCTGGATTCAAGGTACATCAAAAAATATCAACTTAATGAATCTGAAATAACTCCAGGAAGTACGCCTAACTGTATACGTTATCTTTTAGGGCAAGAATTGTGAGACAGCCCTGAATGCCTGTGTGAGTAACCCATGTGCCAATGGAGGAACATGCCAAGTAAATGAAGACGATGAAGGAGAATACCGGTGAGGAAGGCGAGCTGTACATTTACAATTGCAAAAAGTGAATCATACTGAATTTTGCATTATGTATGCACATTGTTTTCACAGATGCTCCTGTCTGCTGGGCTTTGAGGGCCCGACCTGCCAAATCAATGTGGACGACTGTGAAGACAATGACTGCGAGAACGGAGCAACCTGTATTGACGGAATCAACAACTACACTTGTTTTTGTCCCCCCTACTACACAGGTCAGTGCATCTACAGTTGGTTTAAAGTAGATATATTAAAAAAAAAAAAAAAACTAGCAAATCCGAGAGTTGAGGTCTGCTTTAGTCTTTTTGTTGTTGCAACAGCAAAATCCAACATTTCCCAACAATAAATCCTCTGGCAAACAATAGTGAATAAATAAGAACTAGGGAATCAAAACATATTTCACATTAATCATGTTCTTGTTGTTTTTAAGCTACTTTGCTACTTTCTAACTTTATAAGTACTGCATCAAACTCCAAAGCATGGTGCTGCCACCTTCAGATTTTACTGATATGCTAAGTTGATATTAATGCAGCTGAACTCTCTATCCGGTTTACACCAGAATCAGAATCAGAATCAGAAATACTTTAATAATCCCAGAGGGAAATTACTTTTGTTACACGCTCTAGTTACAGTTTTACATGATATATACACACATCCAACTATACAATATAATAAGATAAAAAATAAGAATAAAAAGAGATAAAATATATATACACATATAGCTCTTCTGTACATATATCTGTATGTATATCTATGTATATGTAAGAACTAAATCCAAATAAAGTGAAAAGTCCAATTAAAGTGAATAAATCCAAGTAAAGTGATATGTGGCGTGCAAAAATAGTGCATAAATGACGGGGGGGGGGGGGCTGAATCACTTGAGGGAGGCGTTATATAGGTTGATGACCACAGGTAGGAATGATTTCCTGTGGCGCTCTGTGGTGCATCTGGGTAGGAGGAGTCTTCTGCTGAAGGAGCTCGTCTGTTGGACCAGTGTGTCGTGGAGAGGATGTGAGTCATTGTCTAAGATAGACTGAAACCTGGACAGCATCCTCCTCTCTGCCACGGTGGTCAGGGTGTCCAGCTGCTCCCCCACAACATCACCGGCCCTCTTGATCAGTTTGTTCAGTCTGTTGTTTTCAGCGACCCTCAGCCCACTGCCCCAGCATGTGACAGCAAAGAAGAGCGTGCTAGCAACAACAGACTCATAAAACATCCTCAGCATGGTCCCACAGATGTTAAAGGACTTCAGCCTCCTCAGGAAGAATAGTCGGCTTTGGCCCTTTTTGTAGACCGCCTCTGTGTTTCTAGTCCAGTCCAACTTATTGTTAAAGTACACTCCCAGGTACTTATACTCCTCCACAGTGTCAACAGGAACCCCCTGGATGGAAACAGGGGTCACAGGTGTTTTTGTCCTCCTCAGATCCACTATGAGCTCCTTAGTCTTTGTCACATTGAGCTGCAGGTGGTTCAGCTCACTCCAAGTGACAAAGTTGCCCACCACGGTCCTGTATTCACTCTCCTCACCCTTTTCAATGCAGCCAACAATTTCTGAGTCATCAGAAAACTTCTGAAGGTGGCAGGACTCAGAGCAATAGCATTGTCATGAATTGCACCCTAACAGCTTTTTCTATAAACCTTTTTTAAGCAATTATCCATCCTGTATTAGGTGCTAAGTTAGTTATTATGTAGACAGTCGTTTTTTGACTAGATGCTGTTATTCTCTGGTAAGATTACTTTTGACACTTTTTTCTTTTTTTTGTCCCATCTGTGCAGGGGAGATGTGTGAAGAACTTGAAGATATGTGTGCTCCAGGACGAAGCCCCTGCCAACATCAGTCTACCTGCCTCATCAGCACCTCTGGACCCAAGTGAGTGTTGCTCTTAGATCCTGTTGATGACGTATCCGCTTCGTATTTACACTTATTTGGTTTTGTGTTTTGCAGGTGTGTGTGTTCTCCTGGCTATGTTGGCGATGACTGCAGTATAAACTATGATGACTGCAGGGAGAATCGCTGTCAGAATGGAGCACAGTGTGTGGATGAGCTGAATGGATATTCCTGCATCTGCCCTGAAGGATATAGGTTAGAAAACCTCCAGTTTACTTTTTGCACTGTGTCCACTTTTTTCTACCCCGTCACCTGTATGGAAACCACCCCACAAATTCTCCCTTCCTTTGACTTTAAAGCGGTCAGTTGTGTGAAGTTCCTCCATCTCGTCTGTCGCTATGTGAGCTGGCCGACTGCCAAAACAACGCCCCCTGTGTGGAGAGAGGTGGCCGTGCCCTCTGCCAATGTCCTCCAGAGTTCGGAGGTCCACGCTGCGAAAAACTGGTCAGCGTCAACTTTGTAGATAGAGACTCTTATTTACTGCTATCTGACCTGGAAAACTGGCCACAAGCTAACATCACCCTGCAGGTAATGACAGTTATTTGTTTGTTAGTTTAGCCTTTCTGACAAATAGCCAATGTAAAACTGTTGGATGTGCAGGTTTCCACAGCTGAAGACAATGGTATCCTGTTGTATAATGGAGACAATGATCACATCGCAGTGGAGCTCTTCCAAGGTCATGTGAAAGTGAGTTATGACCCAGGCAGCCAACCAGGACATGCTATATACAGGTACAGCACTGCACATATCATAAGTCTCTCTGTATTCATTGTTCTTCCATCCTAGAGACTCAGTTCTCTTGTTTTCTTTTCTTCCAGTACCGAGACCATCAATGATGGTCAGTTCCACACAGTGGAGCTGGTGACCTTTGACCAGATGGTGAACCTGTCCATTGACGGGGGTCTTCCCACCACAATGGACAGCTTTGGGGCTGTGCGGCCCCTCAACGGAGAGGCGCCACTATACGTGGGGGGTAGGGGCCCTCTCCAGAACACACCTCCCTCCTCTGCAGGCACTCTTAACTACTACACTACTGTTCAGTCACCTCCCTTCCCCCTTCGCTTTGTTGCCACCTCAACCAGTGCTTCCCATCAACATGCAACCCACCATCCAGACCCATCCTCACCTTTCTGTGTCAGTCTTGACTGTGTTTGTTAGGGGACATGCTATCATTGAAACCTATCTAAATTAACCTGTAAATAAGATGGATTAGTTGCAGACAGTTTTAGCATAAAGCATCCGAATATTTATGAAACCTTGTGAAAGTATTTATACCTCCTGAACTTAATCACATTTAAACATTACAACCAAAAACTGCAACATATTAGAACATCCTAAGAAATAAACCAAATGTGTTTTTTGTAAAAAAAAAAACAAAAAAAAAAAAGGAAAAAAAATGCAATTGTAAAAGATCAGGCACTTTAATTTTGAAATCACTGATGAAAATCCAATACGACAATGTACCAAATTTACTGAATTAATTAATCATGCATACTGGTATATTTTAAATCTAAAAAATTAAACTTTTTGTCTTACATTGAAAACATACACATTATTCTAGGAACACCATTCCCATAGTAAAACATAATGCAAGATATATCTCAGGTTAAAGCATTGACCCCAAACATACGCAGCCAGAGCGACAGTAATATGGTTGAAGTCCAGACCTTATTCTATTAATGATAAATAGCAAGACCTAAAATAATTCATGTTCACAGATAATTAATTTGGGCTTAACATAAAATCCCAAAAATACAAAATAAACTTTGTAAATGCAAGACATAACATGTAAAAAAAAAAAAAGGTCAGGTGATATGAACACATTTGCTAAGACACTGTGTTTAAATTACCTCACACTATTCCACTCCAATGTTTTTCAACAGTTCATTAACTGCACCTTCTTTTTGTGTACACTAACAGACACAGTCCCTCAAACCTGAATGCCATTTGACTTCTGTTTTTATTATTGGTTTATTATTAGGCCACTCTTCACAATTTGTAAAGCTCATATTTCAAAAGCATGATTTCCTTTATTCTTCTGCAGTTTATGAACTGTGGGGGCTGTTTGTTCAGGAGTGGCTCAAAAATAGTTTATAAATTTCTTTTTTTTTTTCATTTCCATCACTCATAAAATGAAAAATTTTACATTCCTTTTTGCTTTTGTTGTCCTGCTTTTCAAAAATGTTGTCTTCTGTGGTGCAAATCAATTTCTATAAGTGAAATGAGAACAGAGTACCTGCATAATCATCACTGGGACACACATATTTGAAAAACCTATGTCCATTACATTCATATCAGCCCTGTGTTTGCTGTTTGTCTGTGAGTCAGCACACACCTCTTCACACATATAAACTTATTTTTCTACTTCCTCCAGGGATGCCTGTGGATGTCCACTCTGGCACTTTCCGTCTCTGGCAGATCCAGAACGGTTCCAGCTTCCATGGCTGCATACAGAACCTGTATATCAACAATGAGCTCCAAGACTTCACAAAGACGCAAATGAAGCCTGGTGTGGTGCCAGGCTGTGAGCCCTGCAAGAAGCTCTACTGTGTCCATGGCATCTGCCAGCCTGATGGGTTACTGGGACCAGTGTGTCACTGCCAGCCTGGGTGGAGCGGTGCACACTGCGATCAGCCCGCTCTCAATCCCTGCCAGGGCAGCAAGTAAGTTAGCAAGTAGAAAAGAGAGACCTACTTTAAAAAAGCTGGATATACAATCATTTGTACTGTTCCATCACTGACATTACAGCTAAAAACTTAAAAGTATTTTAATGTGATTCTATGCAATAGAAAACAAAGAGTGGGTATGAATCCGAAGTGAATGGAAAACGTTATTTGTAGCATGCACACATTCAGCACTATGTAACAAAAATAAAAAAAAATCCAATTATCTACCTTTTTGCAGCAGCAAGATGCTTAGGTTATGTCTCTACAAGGTTTTTACATTTGGAGACAAAATTCTTACCCAATTCTCCATAGTAAAAAAGCTGAAAGTTAGACTGGATGAAGAACAAACAGTGCAGATACATTTTGAAACGTTGCCACACATGCTCAACTGAACTTAGATCTGCGTTTTGACTTGGTCATACTAAATCAGAAATATGTGAGCTTAATGTTTTTCCATTGTTGTTCTGGCTCGTTCTGTTGTTCTGGCTATACAATCTTGGTTCTGTGGAAAGATGAACGAACCACCACCCCAGTCTTACATGTTTTACTGTATCTTCTGTAAGGTCAACGATTTAGTAAGATCTGTCCTACAACTAAATGTAACCTGCTTCCTTGTCCCTACTGCAGAAAATCACCCCACAGAATGATCCTTGTTATAGGTTTCTCTAATGTTTTTGGACCTCAGACCCTTTTGCACATAGGGCAAAATGATGGGGAAGTCTGACCAGAGCAGCTTCTACCACATTTTTTTTTTTGGCTAACAACAAAGGGACCTTTTATTGCTTTTTTTCTTACAACTCCCCCTAAAACCCAGATTGATTGCACAGCTAGTAGTTGTCCTACAAACAGATTCCCCTTCCTAAGCTAGGGATCTCTCCCTATAATAACATTATTATTACTGTAAAGTGCCCGAGATGACGTGTTCGGATTTTTTACTTAATAAAGTGAATTGAACTGAATTGAAATGATGTGAAGAGAAGTGTCGCTTTTCACATATCTTGTTTTGATTTAGGTCAGGCCTGTCCTTTAAGGTCTCTGTCCTGCAGGTTTTACATAATTTCTTGCTTCAGTACAGCTTATTTCAATTCATAGCTGATTAACAGGCATTTGCTGCATTGCAATAACCAGAATCAGCTTTGCTGAAGCAGGGAAACCTCTAAGACCTGCAGGGCAGTGGTCCTCCAGCGCCGAATTTAGACTGGCCTGGTCTAGATAGAGAGGTCAACAGCCCATCTAGTGGTTACGGTTGTGTGAATTTATTCATATAAACTCTAAAAGAACAAATACAATTAGTGGTTGCAATGTTACAACATCTGGAAGCACTCGCAGCAAATGCTCACTTTTAGAAGAAACTGTAGTGACAAATTACATTTATTCCTGACACTTACCTATCATTTGGAACTAATAGACATCAGCAGTATAGGGAAATCTATGGTTAGGCAAACCTAACTAAAATTATCTCCTTTTAGATGCGTCCATGGAAAGTGCATTCCTCTGGACTCACAATCGTACCGCTGTGAGTGTGAAGAGGGTTATCGAGGTGCACTATGTAACCAGCAAGGAGAGCTTTTCAATCCCTGTCATCGCCTATCTTGTAAACACGGTCGCTGCCAGATCTCTGACTCCGGAGAAGCATACTGTCACTGCGAAAGTGGCTACACAGGGGAACTCTGTGACGCAGGTTGGTTTGCACACTAAAAGGCCAGGGACAGATAATTAGGAATTTGTGTAATGTTAAGATAAATATTTGTTTTGTCTTTTTTAAGAGTTTGAATGTCGAGGTGAGCCGGTGAGAGACTTCTATCAGGTACAGCGGGGTTATGCCATTTGTCAAACAACCCGCATGGTATCCTGGGTGGAGTGCACCGGAGCCTGTGACACGGGGAGCTGCTGCATCAGCCAGAGAATGAAACGCCGAAAATACACCTTTGAGTGCAGCGACGGAACATCTTTTACTGAGGAGGTGGAAAAGACCATCAAGTGCGGCTGCGTGGGTTGCATGTAGCATTGTTCACTCGCACTTCCTGCCACTGCTGCAGAGCAGAAGATGGAAAGCATGGATGGAAGGAAGGAAGATAACTGCTGAAAGGTGGAAAAGAGAAAGCAAGATCAAAAGAGATTATACAGAATATATATAAAACCTCTATCTATATGTTATGGACAACAATGTTTGTAAAATAGGACATTTCCTCTCCAGTCTGAGGGTGTGCGACCTACAGTAAAACAGAAGCAAACATCCTGAGCATCAGTGTAGGAGTGACAACAGAAATAAAACCATTGTATCTACAGCATTGTTCCAAGGGGTTCAGAAATTTTGTAGATGTCACATTAGGTGAGGCATCCTTTCTACCAAAACTCTCCCTCATAAACACCCCACCTATTTGTGAGGTCTTATGGCTCAGCTACCATCTCCCATCCTTATCTCATTGAGGTAAATAGGACGAGATGATTTATTTTAACTTCGGAGACAGAAGAGAAGAGCTGTCCTTGTTTGAGTCTTGAGTTAAGCTTGGTTACCTGAACAGTGTTGAATATGGTTTTGGATTTAGTTGAAGTCGCCATCCAACCTGGTGCAGCCATTTCTCCACCAGGAAACTGGTCCATCCTTTACATGTTGAAGTGGAAGTAAGAGAAAAGGGACCCTAAGGTCGGAGCAGTGCAGTGTTTGAGTTCAAGACGAGGTGCTAAGAAACGTTTGCTGTAGGATCCCATGAGATAGAAATCCCCTGCAAATAAAGACTGCATGGACCAGCAGGCAAACACACCTCTATGAAATACCCTGTCACACATGCATGGTAATACACACGATCCCGACCCAGCCTGGGAGGGCGGGTGTAGTGCAGCTGTTCCCCTTTGTTCTTGCAGTAAGAGCAGCCATGGCAGAGGCAGTGCCCGCAGCATGTATGGCCTCAGGGTGGGGATGTTTAGCATAACCCTGCTCACTCTGAGCAGGAGGGTGGCTGATTCTGCTGATACCTGCAGTATTAAACCACCAAAACTGTTGCATGTGTGGAGAGTTTGCCAATATGTAAAGATTTTTTCCGTATTATAATGAAGATTATTACAAAAGGTTTAGAGTCACATTTTGTGTTTTTTTTCCCTTCCATTTCTTTTTCTATTTCTTTTAGGTATGTTTAGTTATAATTTTTCTCATGGTGTATTCTAACTTCTTTAGTTGCCCCTGCCCACCCACCCCCCTATATTGTAACGCCTAACAGATTCTAATATATATATAATGAATATATTTGTATTTCATTTTTGGTATAGTATTTTTCTATGTTAAAGAATATGTCTGTGTTAGGAAGCATTTAGACTGGCGCAAAGGTATTCAGTTGGTTTCCTAGTTGTTTTTATTTGTCATCACCTTCTTCAGCAAAGTAATTATTTGAACTGGCTGAAATTCAGCAGTGGGTCGGTCTTGTATAAAAGGCAGTATCGGCCTAGAAAAATTGTTAAATATTGTATATGTTGTCTTCCATGTGAATATTACATATAATTCATGAAAAAAATGCCTTTTTTTAATTTATTTTAAGTATAAGTGTTGCTGGCATTCAAAAAAAAAAGAAAAAAAATTAAAATTTTATGTTCTTTGAAAGTAGCAGCAAAAATTCCACAAAGTGTTTGTATTTTCCCTACATAGTGAGCCACAACAGTGTCTTTCTCCCCTGAGGCTCAAATTTTACTACAATTCTGTGGGAGGTCTGAGCTCTGAATGAAATATCCCTCAGATTTACTTTTTAAAATTTCCTGCCCACATATTTGATCTCCAAAATGTTTCCATGTTTTCATGTGATGGGCTGCATTGTTATTATTTCAGTTTTAGAGATGATTGTCATTGAATAAGGATGTTTTTTGCGTTTGCTCTGTAATTAAGTAAACCGATCATAAGCTGCTGTCAAGCCACAAGAAAATGGGATGACGTTGCCTCTTTGGACACTGATCACGTTAAGATGGATTGGCCTTTCATCTTGTTTTTTTTAAGCGGCAATTGTGAGATGCATTACATGCCAACTACTGACAGATAACAAGAAAAGCCTGGATGTGTTCATCATCTGTCAGTTCGGACTGATTATTCTCACAAAAAAAAAGAAAATTGCCAATTCTAGTGGGCTGTCATCAAACCTGAATGTATAAATGTGTATAGATAAATATGAGCTATGCTTATTCATGAAGTGGTAACTTTTAGCTGTTATTTAGTTTCCAGTGTAAGATACAGGGAATTGCATTTAGAAAGACTGATGGCCATAAGAATGCTTTCTCTTGGACTACGTCTCTCAATGGCTCATTATGGTGTAAAAGGCTACAGTAACAGATCATACAGGTTCCATTTCATAATGCTATCCATGCTAACTTTGTTTTTGATGCTGTTAACGTGATGCCAGTGGTGTACAATAATATTACAGAAAATCTGTTGAACCATACTGATGAGCAGTCACTGTAACATTTAGGCTCTGTGCCTCATACAGGTGCATATTTTTAATTAAATGTGACTTTCTCCTCATGGCTCTTCTCATTCATTCACATTTATCCGTACAGGACTCAAGTCTTCATAGACTTCTTCGAGGTGTTTGTGTAATATTATGATGTAATTCCATAATCTGGACATAAAAACAAAACCTTTTTTTTTTCCATTCAATGAACTTTATCCATAAATGTTATTGTGAACACTACGTTTTCAGTGGCAGTAACTTGCTGTAGAAGCTGAAGAAATGTCACTGGTCGGATTCTGTTTGACTTCATGTTGTAGTATAATGATCAGTATAATGAAGAACACGTCATTATACTGATTGTATGTTTAACAAATCTCCACTCTTTTCAGTATTTAAATCACAAATATGTGCGATTTTAATAATCCCTGTCTTTGTTATGGGGAAAAAAAATCCTTTAAACTTTAGAGCCTTTCATCATTTTAGTGCCTAAAACCATCTAACGTGGATTAAGCAAATGTCTACTACTGTAGGTGAAATTAAGTGACGGCTGGCAGGGCCTTCAAGGCCATCCATCCATTTTCCGGCACGTTTATCCCAAGTGGGGTTGCGAGGGGTGCTGGTGCAATCTCCAGCCGTCTACAGGCGAGAGGCGGGCTACACCCTGGACAGGTTGCCAGTCCATCGCAGGGCAACACACAGACAAACAGGACAAGCAACCATTCATGCACACACTCACACCTAAGGAGAATCCAGAGAAGCCAATTAACCTAACAGTCATGTTTTTGGACTGTGGGAAGAAGCAGGATGGAACCCATTTTACAAGGGAACCTTCTTGCTGCAAGCAGTGGCGGCTGGTGAAAAATATTTTTGGTGGGGCTGATATAGCCTAGTGTATGTCTCCAACTAATCCAGAATAAGAATTAAAATAAACAATTGGAAATTAAATACAATTTAACAGTAATGATTTAATTTACTATATAATAACAGTAACAGTGATGATTTTGGTCACTGTGACGGGGTTCTTTGGCCTCCAAGAATCCAGGCTCAGTCGGGTTACCGGTGTTGGTGATTTATTGAGCTCAAAAACTCAAAATAGGGTGCAAAAGAAACTAAACATATACAAGATACTCTGGGCCTCAGCCTCCCTCCAGTTACCAGTTATGTAACAAAGAAACAGAAAACAGAAATGGCCGCTCTTCTTCCCACAGCCCTCATTAAATAGTTTAAGCCCCTACCCTCAGGCTCTCTTATTTCTGATTTCTTCTCATTAATCAGTTTTGTCCATATATTACCTCCACAAACAATTGATATACAAAAACAAATAATTTTTACAACTTAATTCCTTTACACAGATTTATTGACTTATTCAATTACACCAAACTTTTAAACATAAAATTAAAAAAATATATAATCTGACAAACATTTAGCGAGTCATGTGTTGGTGAAGTCACTTCCGCATTCCAACAACTCTGGCGTTTTAACCGCTTACTGAGCGTTGCCTCGGGTTTGAACCCAGCAAAGACGCCACCAGACTGATGATGACAAGTCCCCGTAGCATAAACACATACACACACACACACACGCTCGTTACGTTGGCCATTGTCCCTCTAATTGTCTGCACCTGCGCATTGGGTGCAGAAGCCTGTTAAAGGGCAGTATTTTCAGAGCCCCAACACCATAAAATTCTGAGACGCTGATTGGCCATTAAATTATTAAATTCACCTAGCAATAGTACATGATTGGCAGATTCTATGCACATGTGGGGCAGTCTGATCAGAGCCCCAAGACAGAGACGGTAGGAGTCTGTCTGTGGAAGACAGTAGATAGGGAAATGTAGTTTATATAATTTATTTTGCTTATAGGTACACACTCTAGAGAGTAAAACTGACATTTATGAGTTAATTTCAAAAAATTTATTTTACATTTCTCTCTTCTTATTAGGGAGGGCGGTGCCCCAGCGCCTCCTATGGGCCGGCCGCCACTGGCTGCAAGACAGCAGTGTTACCAACTAGCCCACTGAGCAGCCCTTACTGCTGGCATAAAATCAATTCAGAAACACTGCAATCCCTACACTGCAAATATTAGCCAAGTTAAATGCCAAAAATCTGCATTTTAGATTCACTTTTGATAAAAGTGGCCTTAATCGCTGATACTAAATGGAGATACTAAGACTTCTTACAACAAAGACAGAAGGAAGTATTTTGTTTATGAATAATCAGCATCACTGGTGGGTGTTATATATTTTATCTTCATGCTTTTTGCACTATTTCATCTGGTAATTAGATGCATATTCAATCTTAACGGCTACTGGTGATTTAAATGTTGCAGAGATGAGATTATAGGTTATAAAGTAGAGGATTACTGTTGACTTAACTCGGCCTCTTGCTTAATTAATCTCTGTATTCACCCTTTATATCTTCCTCTTGGTTATGTCAGCGCTTCTAACATTTCATATTTTAATACTATAGTTAATGGGTGTGCCCTGCGATGGACTGGCGACCTGTCCAGGGTGTACTCCGCCTCTCGCCCATTGACAGCTGGAGATAGGCACCAGCACCCCTTGCGACCCAATTGGGATTAAGCGTGTCAGAAAATGGATGAATGGATGTTAAGGGGTACGCACTGAAGGCCCACGTACTATTTGCACAACCCGCCACTGGTGAAATTAGACCATTGGAATGGTTCCATAAAGAGATGACAGAACAGCCACTTTGGAACCAAGTAAGGGTGTTTTGTTTAGTTTTAGTTTTTTTTTTTTTCTTCCTCCAGACGACCTGTTGAGATTGTGTTGGTGCAGAAAGCAGATGATTTGAGGCTGGCTCTAAAATTTAGTACCAGCTGTTTAATTTCCTTTCTTTTACTCTTTTATTAATGTAGATATTAGAACTATGTTAGAGTTTAAACTAGACATGTCTAGGTTTTCAAAAAAAAAAAAAAAACTTGATAAACTACTCCTGGTAATTATTTTGATTTATAGTAAATCTATATTTAAATTCAATTAGTGAGATTTCACCTGTTAATAAGCTGATTTCCTAAAAAATATTTAGCTGAACATACAATTATGAAAAGCTATGGAAATCATGTTACACCCGAATGATGAGAACAGTGATACTTAAGTGAGAAACCGCAGAATGCACAGCCACATAAGGGTTGTGGACTTATTGGAAAATCGCAAGTTACTAAAACATGTGTATCTTAGTTGCATAATGAGTTCAGCTAAAATGGGAAAAATTTGGTTAATGAATACATTTTATTCACAGTTTTCAATTACATTCACTTTAATTGCATCATTAACACATGGTACAATCCTTGTTAAAGGGTCTAATTTTGATGTAAGTACAGCAGGTCAATACAGTGGGAACAAACTCACTGCACACTAAGCAAACTAAGCAAACTACCAGGCTAAAATGGCCTAGACTATGAGACAACTTCAGAAAGGCATGGAAAACCATGGACAGAATGCAGGTCCATAGCAGGTTAACACAGAGACAAACATCAATGCATTCAGACACTCAGACCAAAGGGCACTTTAGATGAACAATCAACCTAACAAACTTAGATTACATTACAGACAATTCAATGAACTCATACAGTCTGATTGGTTAAAAAGTTTCTATATAAGGAAACTTGGCTAATTGCATCAAGTCATTGACTTTTCAGATCCGCTCTCTTATGACTATGAGCACCAGGATCCGCCTTACTCATATCTTAGAATCCAGAAAAGAATCTGATTTTTAGAAATTGACCATGACCCCCAACCTGACATGTGTAGGACTCAGGATTAGTACTCTAACAAATCATGAACTCTGACACAGATGTGATAGCAGCAGCTACGGGTGGATCCTTCTGTGCATTTTGGTTTAGCTGTGGGCTCGGTAGCTCTTGCTTTTGTCACAGCTATAAGTCTTAAAACCATAATACTGCAACAGGATTGACCAACCAGTTTTGGGTCAGCACCAAACAGCTGAAGCAGAATCTTTGTCTGTTTGTGAAGGCAGAAATACTGTGAGAATTCAACCTGCTGGCAACCCCCTTTGTAATATGAAGTATATTTAAACACTAGAAAGTGAAGAGTTAATTAAAAAAAAGTTATACAGTTTAAGTTTTTCAGCTATAATTATAAATTAAAGATGATTTTTGGCCCTGAAACAAAGCAAAGAAAAAACATACTTAGAAAAAATAGTTATAAAATTGTAAAGTTATTATGTGTTATCCCAGCATCCTTTGCCATTGAGTAAAAATGGCCTCGTTTTTCCATCAGATTGCTTGGAGAATCAAATTCCACAATTTGACCAGCATCAAGGACCATCACCCTGAGGAAAAGAAACATATTTTAACATCATGAACCTCTGAGAAGCTTCATTGCTGGCTGTGCAAAATAACCTGTTACAATGTAAATGGATCAGATGTTTGTCATCTCAGACGTTGTGCTCTGACTCACCTGGAGCTGTCCATGATGCTGTGCAGGCGGTGGGCAATGGTGAGCACCGTGCATTGGGAGAACTCCTTGCTGATGGTATTTTGAATCAGGTTGTCTGTTTCCAGGTCAATCGCTGCTGTAGCTTCATCCAGAATCAGGATCCGAGACTTTCTAAGCAGAGCTCGAGCCAGACACAGCAGCTGCCGCTGTCCAACACTGGAAAAAGTGATTTAGCTGTTACAAATGCTGGTTTCAGAGATACATTTTAAGGAGAAACCATTCATCCAAACCAACCTGACTCTATAACTTCTTTGCTACTTTTGGGATCAACCACTGTCATCATTCATGTTGAACTGTAAAGTGCCTGGAGATGACGAATTGTGAATTGGCGCGATATAAATAAACTGAATTGAATTTAGGCTGGGGACTTAAGGTCGATCCAAAAATTTTTCAGATTTGAACTTTGTAATGTTTCAGACCATTTTCCTGCTGCAGAGCGACAGTAAGTTTGAGTTTAAGGTCACTGATGGTTGGAAATTCATTTTTCATTTTTTTCTCAAAAATGCAGAGGAATATTTTTTTGATAGAAAACCAAAAACAGACTACATCGGTAAGGGGAAAATACATTTTATGTACATTTCTGTTAAAATA